AAACAAAGATGGTGCAATATCTTTGTTTTTTTTTATGAGGCTCCTGAGAATCAACCCAACTGAAGCATTTCAATTCACTTGAATGAGAAACGTGTTTAGTATCAAAAGAGCCCGAGAAGACACTGGTGTGAAAGGTACAATCTCAGAGGTTGGTCAATTACCGTGGCACACTTTCTGGTCACTTTGTACAATGTAGATTTGAAGTACAGTGGTGAAAACATTAAATGTGACATTTGAAAAAGTTGTGTTGTCTATTTTATTTCCTTTTTTCTTTTTTCCTTTGTTTTTTCTTCAGTAGAGCTTGTGTTGAGACCAGAATGGCAGACTTTTAAGAGATTTGCTCTTTATATTTCTGCTTTTCTATCTTTGAGGAGATTAGATGTTGTCTTTTAAAAATTTACCCAGAAAAGGGGGCTGGGGATAAAGCTCAGCGGCATAAGCGCCTGCCTTGCAAGCAGGCAGTCGTGAGTTTGATCCCCGGTACCGATAAACAAATGAAAAAGAAAAAAAAAAAATTTTACCCAGAAACTTAAGGTTGCTAGAAAAAAATATTCAAAATTTTACTCATACAAAAGATGTAATTTAAATATATTCAACATGAAAGTCTTTCTAGACATTAGTCTGAATCCTGTGGCTGTCAAGCCTTTTTCCTCCCTTTTGAGGCAAAAAAACAAAAAAAACAAAAAAACCCTGTATTCATATGAAATTTTACACCAGTATATTGGAGTCACTGCATTAAATGAGATGGCTTTCCACGCCGCTGACCAAGGGACTGGATCCTGCCTCCTCCTCCTTCCTGCTCCTGCCCTAGTAAAGGTACTTCCAAAGGTGCTTCCAGCTCATTTCAGCTCCTTGGTGGCACAATCCAGACCCAAAACCAGACTACCTAACCTCAGGATGTGCTCCCCAAGGCTGGCCAGAGCAGTGTCACTGTTTGAGTACTGGGAATTGAACCTCATGAAGGAACATTGGGTCCGTGCTCTAGCACTGAGCTGTATCCCAGACTTCCTCTCTCCCCAGTAGTGGGATTGAACCTAAGGCTTAACACTGAGCTATGTATCACCAGCCCTTTTTTATTTTTTATTTTGAGACAGGGCCTTACTAAAAGTTGGCCAATCTGAGCTTGAATTTGTGATCATCCTACTCTAGCCTCTGAAAGTGTTTTGGATTATAGGCATACACCACCCAGCTTAACTTTATTGTTTTTATTTATCTTGGCAGAGTCTGAATACATTGCCTAGGTGGGACTCATACTTGGGATCCTCCTGCTTCAGCCTCTTGAGTAGCTGGGATTATAGTTATGTCCCACCATGCCCAACTACAGTATTACTCTTGAGTTTGTACATGGCATTTACTTTTTCCTATATTTTTTTGATTTTGCAAAAAAAAATTTTCTGTACCTGTGAGAAGTGAGCTGTTCTGTTCTTGCTTATATAAATTATTATAAATACACATATTTGTTCATTAAAAATCAGTTTGTTCATTCAATAAACCTAAATACTTACTAATTGCAAGAATTACAAGAAAGCTTTGCTGTAGTAATGCTTAAAATAAGAAAACAAGTTTTAATATGTGCATTTTGAATGTACATGTAACTTTGAAGCTAAAGTTCATAGATACTGCTTAATGAACCAATGAATCTTTGTCTTATTTATCTGAATTTGTTGGAAATTGTAAAATGTGGAATGTCTAAGGCCAGTAGAGTCACAAGGGGCAGTTAAGTCAGGGGGCTGTGATCCATTGCAATTTGTTTGCAGTTTAAGACCCCAAAAGATGAAAATAATCTCTTGTTGGAAATTAAGTTTTCCTAGGTTGTAATTTAATATATTACTTTTATATTAAAATAAAAACATTAAAGGAGAAAAAATTCACATGAATTTTTAAATTACACTTTTCAGAAAGCAAATATACTTTTCTGTCCACAGAGCCTTACTGAAGGCAGTTCTAGAGGGGAATCACATCTAGCAGGAAAGAGCCGGGTCCAGTGGCACATCCCTGTAACCTTAGCATCTTGGGAAGCAGAATCAGGAGGATCACAAATTCAAGGCCAACCTAGGCAATGTAGTGAGACCCTGTCTCAAGATTTAATAGTTTTAAAAGGTGTCAGGGATGTATCTCAGCAGTAGAGTGCGTACCTAGCATGTACATGATCCCAGGTCCAGCCCCTAAGACCGTAACAGAGGAGAAAAACTACAAGCAGATTTCCAGCACAAGAATAGGAAACAAAGCAATTGGTAAACATGCAGTGGGGAGCAAGCAAACACAGGCTGCATAATAATGTCTGATGGCAAGAGTAAATAAATTAGAGACCCTTCTTTAATGAGACACTTAATGGCATAAATAGAGACTCGCAGGAAGCACGTGTGTGTGTAAGTTTTTTTCAAACATCAACCTTTTTCCTCTATTCATCCATTTAGAGAAGACACACTTCTTAGACATCTCAGGTAAATATGGCACAGTGTTCCTGGCCATAAAGACATCCTGGGTTGCTGGGCATGGTGCACGCCGCTAATCCCAGCTCTTGGGAGGCTGAGGCAGGAAGATGGCTGTGAGTTGAGGCCAGCCTGAACTGCATAGTGAAACCCTGTCTCAAGCAGAAAGAAAGACACAAATCCTGGGTTGCCAAACAATGGGACACTATAAGCAGTTTTGTTTCTCAGGCTCTAAAAGCTGGCGGAGAACACAGTGGTGGGGACTTGGCTACACACTGAAGCCCTGGGTTGAGTGCCCAGCACACACAAAAGCTCCCTGAGGCCAAGGCACACCTCAGACCCCCACACATGCCTTCCTCCTGATCATTCCCCTTATAAACAGGCCTTCTTACCCAACTGCCACTGCTACCCTTGGGAGCTATGGGTCCTCTGTCTCTTGACCCCCTCTCCAAACCTGCCCTCTCTCTCTCTCTACCTTAGCCACGCCCTCCTAAGAGCAAAACCATGTCCTAATACCAGGAATACAGGCACCATACCCTCATCCTACTCTCCCAAGCTCCAACCCAGTGATGTCACTGTAGCCCTGTGCTTCCCTGGTAAGGGCCTCAACTCTGCTCCCTTCTCCACTTTCTCCCTGATGTCCCCACTGGCCTGACGTCAGGCTCCCCATCCAGCTCAAATCGAATGCTCCATCACTTCAGCCACTCTGATGTTCAGCTCCTCAGTCATCTTTGCCTTCCTGAACCCACTTGGGATGAGCCCAACTACCTTTTCCTTTGCCAACTACCCCCCACACCCACCAACAATCCTGTCCTAGCACCAAACAACCCACCTGAACTAAACCAAAATCCCTCCCTTCCCCCTACCTCCTAAAGGCCTTCACACACATTTCCTGCTCCCTTCCTTCTCTACAGACAACCTGTCTTTTTTTAAAAAAAAAAATTTTTTTTGACACAGGGTCTCACTGTGTTATTCAGTCTGGCCTTGAGTTCATATATGTAACCCAGGCTGGCCTTGAACTCACAGTGATCCTCCTGTCTCAGCCTCAAGTGCTGGGATAACAGATGTTCCACCACACCCAGCTCCATTCCCCTTTTTACTCTACTATCAGGCTCCTGCCCCATGACTGCTCTTGAGAGAACTGACAGTGGTCACTACCCACGTTGCCCTAACACAGTTACCCTAATGACTCCTGGGGTTGGAGCACCTCTAGATCTCTTCCAGATCCTCTGCTCTCAAAATTTCAACTCCCATCAAATGCTATGTCTCCCAAATTTAGTCCACCAGGTTCATCCAACTGCTTATTCCACTCTGCTGCTACAGAGATAGACAGCTAAGTATCAAGGCCAAAACTGAATTACTGGCGGGAGATATAGCTCGTGGCACAGCACCTGCCTGGCAAGCACAAGGTCATGAGTTGGATTCCCAGTACAAAAAAAAAAAAAAAAAAACGGAATTATCTTCCCTTAAACTTATTCTTAGTGGGACCAACCCATCTCCCAAGCCTACCTGGACCCAGAATAAAGATTGGTGTTTGCTGAATGAAATATGAATCCCTGCTTCTCTCTTTCTCCTCAGCCAATCATCAAGTCCTGTCAATTTTATCTCCTACCTTATCCCCCAGTTGGCCCCTTTTGCTTGTTGTAATGGTAGATACACTGTGTCAACCTGAGAAGTTTAGAAGTTCAATGAAGCAACTCAGCAGGGGTCCTCACTTTGTAAATATCCTCACCCAGTGCCAGAGGAGGGCACAGAGACAGTGTGCTACACCCGCGCTAGGGGTGGTAGCCTGCTTTACAATATATGGGAGGAAAAGAGGCTTGCTTTTTTCCTTTTTTTTTTTTTTTTTTTTTTGGTCTTTTTCCTTTTCATCGGAACCGGGGATCGAACTCACGATGCCGCTGAGCTAAACCCCCAGCCCCTTTTTTCTCACTTTTGCTGTTGCTGCTTTTGCTGTCTTCTGCCGCCGTGAACCATGTCCCCGTGCCATGCCACACTGCCTTGGAGCCTGCCGAGTACGGACTGAAACGTTCACAAAACGTGACCTAAATAAACCATTCCTTCCTTAACTTTGGATATCGGGTATTTTGTCTCAGCAACTAGAGAAAAGTAACTAAGACACTTGTCTTGAGGTTGGTTAGCTTTTTCCATCCTTCACAATGCTTCCCCAAGCCCTCAACTCGCACCGAGTTGACCCTGCGGACAGGGAGCATTATGAAAAGACCAGCCTGCCGCCTCCGACAAACTGAAGGCGTAAGGAAGGTCAGCTCCACATGCCCCATAGCCCCGCACATAACTGTGCGGGCAAAGCGAACAGAAGCAAATAGGTGACAGGGGCCACCGAGAAAAGAACTGCTTGAGCAGCCCAGTACTCTACCCAATCCGCGCCTACGTGCGCCCCATATCTCCAAGCAACCAGATTTCCGCGCAGTACGACCCACTCACGCGGCTCTCCCAACAGCAAATGGGAAGTTCGCAGAACGCGTTGTACTCAGAGGAACCAATGGGCATGCTCTGAAGGAGTCCCGCCTCCTCGGCTTAGCCAGCCATGGAGCGGCCTGCGTGATCTCAAGGGGGCGGGACATTTTGGCGCGCGAGCTCACCGCCTTTCCTCACCTCTGGACTTCTGGTGGGCTTGGTCTGGCTTCTTCCGCCCGAGACCGCAACATGGGGGCTGTGAGCGCCAGGCGCTGCGTGGAGTACCTGCTCGGCTTTTACTTCCTCTCCCACATCCCCATCACCTTGTTCCTGGACCTGCAGGGGTTGCTGCCGCGCGAACTCTTCCCTGACCAGGTGAGGAGCGACGGATGGGTAACGGACGCGGCGGGCCGCCGAGTTTGAAGCCCCGCTACGCGCAGCCCTGGCGCTCTTCGTCCGCCGGGTCACCTCGTCCGCCAGATGCCAGTTCTGTTCCCTTGTCCCTCCCCTTTCCTGGCTCCACGCGCTCCTTACCTCTAGCTTGAACTCGGCGTCTTCCGTCTGCCCCACGCCCACCTCCCCGAGGACAGGCGCTCTGCTCCGCGCGCTCCTCCCCGTGGTGGGCATTAAGCCCCAAGCCCTTCGCGCCGACCAAATCCCTAGCCCCCTTTTTTATTTTTTATTTCTGACATAGGGTCTCGCTAAACTGCGCAGGCCAGACTCGAATTTGAGATCTTTGTGCCTCAGCCCGGCTACTTTGTTCTCTTTAAAATCATTTTTTTAAATCTTATTTTAAAAAAGCAAAACAGAAAAAAGAATAGAAAAAAATAGGAATTTGAGGCACCCACGGTCGCGCCGGTGGTTAGTTTTCAGTGATTGAAAGAAGTACCCTGAATGAACCAGTGACCATTATCACATGTTGGATTCTTTCTGATGCTGATTTTCCAAAGAACTTTAAGATCCCAGTCCTCCCAAAGAAAAAAATCTGAGCAGAATTAGGTCTCTTTCAAGTTTTAGTGTCTGGGATTCCCTGAGCACGCCACCATTCCTGGCATTAGCTGTATTTTCGAGTGGTGAGCAAGGAGGGAGAATGGCAGTCAGGAGGAATAAAGAACAGCTAGTAAGTCTGGAATGGCTAAAGGGAGCAAATATGTTAATTACCAAGTATTAAAGAGACTGTAAATAGACTCGGGTTTGAAAGTCAGAGTAAGAGCAGGTTTTCCTTTCTTTAGGGCAACTAATGGGTAGTGTACAGCTTTTTATTTTTTATTTTTTTTTTTCCTCTCATAGTGTGAGTCACTCAAGGCTGGGCTTGAACCATGTACACCACGCTGGCCTTGAACTCTGGGTAATTCTCTTGCCTCAGGCTTCCAAGTGCTAGAATTATGGGCGTGCACCACCATACCTGGCTCTGTGTGTGTGTGTGTGTGTGTGTATATATATATATATATATTTTTTTTTTTTTTTTTTTTTTTTTTTTTAAAGCATCCCAACACTCAGAAGACTGAGACAGGATTGCCAGGAATTTGAGGCCAGTCTGGGCTACATACCAGGACCCTGTCTCAAAACAAACAAAAACAAGCTACAATGTGCCAACATCATAAAAATCCTATTTAAATATATATATTTTGTTGGTAAAAATTTCTGGTTTGAGTCTAGAATAGCTCAGTGGTAGAATATGTACCTGACATTGCAAGGCCTTGAGTTTGATCCCCAGAACCAAATAATACTAATAATAATAATCGGGTTTTTATGTTTGTTTTGTTTTTAAACATACTAGAAAAGGATTAGGACCAGGCCAGAAGCCCAAATTGAGGTGATGTTGCTGACTGAAGGCGTTAAGGGTCATCCTGGCCTGGAAGGTCTATATCCCTGTTCACTCTTACTGCTTTGAGTGGAATGATATGTCTGTTGCTTCTTTATGGGGAAAATAAAACTTTCAGTCCCAGCTTCTCTTCAGAAAATACCAAAATTTAACATCTATTTTTCCTAGAACTAGAAAAGCATTATGAGAAGTCACATAATGGCTTGGCTGAAATTTGCAAATGAAACTTTTTTCTTGGTCTGAATCAAATCACTTGGAAAAAGCTTTTTTGTTTCTGTTTTTTTGTTTGTTTGTTTGTTTGGTTGGTTTTTTTTTTTTTTTTTTTTTTTTATCAGTACCGGGGATCCGACTCACAACCACCTGCTTGCAAGGCAGGTGCTTATGCCGCTGAGCTAAATCTCCAGCCCTTGGAAAAAGCTTTTACTGTAAAACAGTAAAAGAATTTAGTTGGGATAGAATCTAGGAGGGAGATAGGAAACATATAATTTGCAACTGGATAAATTGCTCCTGTTCAAGAAAGGAAAAACAGGTGCGCATCTGGCTCTAAAATCAGTCTGTCCTATTGAAATACAGGATCTAAGGGAGATCCTATTTAGAAAACTCTGTGTGGTTTGTTTTATTTTGCTTTTTGTTTTGTGTGCTAGGAATCAAACCCAAGGCCTCAGACATGCTAAGCAAGCAATACATCCCTACCCTGGCCAGATGACTCTTAATGGGTAACATGATAAGTTCTCAAATGTGCATCAGATATAAATGGAAACATGCTGAGATTTTACTAGGATTAAATTTGAGCTACATATTAATTTAAGTAATCTTATATGCTGGTCATTGATCTAAAGATGACGTGTATTAAGTCACTGTATCTTAACAGTAAGGTGGGCTGGGGATTTAGCTCAGCGGTGTAAGCGCCTGCCTTGCAAGCAGGCAGTGGTGAGTTCGATCCCCGGTACCGATAAAATGGAAAAAGACCAAAAAAAACAACAGTAAGGTGTAGGTGCTATTGCTGGCTGTACTTTACAGAGAAACAAGCATGGTGAGAGTAAGGGCTGTGCCTGGAGCCAGCACTGGGCCAGGCATGGTGCCTCTGGCTTCAGTATTTCTTCCCCACTCCCTGGAGGCCTGTGCCTTCTCTTCCACTCATGCTTTGTCCAGACCTCAGTCCACCATCATCAGGTGACTTAGGAGAGCCTGGTGATGAGATTAAATTTTGCCAATCTTACCTGTAGCCCTTAGCCATTACAGTGCTATACAAGTTAATCTTAATTTAGGAGGGGAATAACTCTCAAAGATTCTTTACATGTTGAATAAAAAATGAAGTTCACATGGTATAGAATGCCTTTCAATTTTTGTGGTAAAACTTTTTGTGGGGCACCCTGGAGATTCAGATAGGCTCTCACTATGCAGTTCAGGCTGGCCTTTAACTATGTAGCCCAGACTGGTCTCAAATTCATGGTGACCCTCCTCGCTTTGATTCTGTTCTGAGTACTGGGATCCACAAGTGTGTGTCACCAGGCCTGATTTGCTGTAAATCTTTGCAAGCAGGTAGTTTCCTTTAGTTCTTTCTAAAGAGGAAAGAAAGCATTTAGTCTCAGTTGCTCCTTTTACATAAGGTAAGGAAGCAGAGCCGCAGAGAGGGGCAGTGACTTACCCTTTATATGTATTTCTTCCTACCATGTTAATGTCCTGGAAAGAGCTTCGGAGGAAGCAGTGTTGCCATGAATTCAAATTCACATCAAGGACTATTAGAGGTCACTGGTCTAGAAACTGGTTATCTAGCCAGAACTCTCTGAAATTAGTATTTTGCTAACAGAATGCTTGTTTCTGGATATTTGCTCACAGCTGCTTTGTGGCCTCAAGGCCTCTATTTCACAGTGAACCTTAATCTTCCGATTAAAAATTAACAGGAAAGTATTCCTGGACTTAGCATCCTAAAATGAATTCTTAAAGTAGCTTGATTCATCATGTTAAGACACTTACTTGGCTTTGAAGGTATGGGTGCTGGGACAATCATACTCCAAAGCTTTGAGTTCTTATAAAGCACAAAGTGGCAGTCTCAAACTCTACTGCCTCCTTCCTGTCCATGTAGCCACATCAACCTGACCTGTACCCTTTTTACAGTGTAATTACAAGGATGGGGCCCAAGCTAGAGCTAAAAACTGCTAACTCAAGCCTTGCTGTAGCCCAAAAGCTGCACACTTTGGAGCAGTTTGTTCTTCTACAAATAACCTACTGGTTTCCAAAAGAAAATAGAATTAAGGGAGTTAAAAATAAGTAATTCTAGACATGGTGGTGCATACCTGTCATTCTAGTATTTGGAAGGCTGAGGCAGGAGGATCATCATGAGTTCAAGGCCAGCCTAGGCTACACAGCCAGACTCTTGTCTTGAAAAGCCAAAAACAAAGAAAAAGACTAATGAATAACTCATTCACAAGTTGGAGTCAAAGTCCAACATTTACATCGTCACAAGATGCCCAGGCAGGGGTGATTAATTATGACTAATATATGTAGTAGGCATGGATGGAAGTACAACTAATATATACTGATAGAAGTAAAAAATAAGCTACATATCCACAGAAGTTAGATTTACCATCCCTTTAATCACCACCTTCTCCTCACCAAAAATAGGAAATTCAATGTATTTTTCTATCTGAGGGAATATGATCTTTGGAGTTATACAATTGCTGTCAAAGGGAAAATGTCAGGATGCTTTTCATACTTGTCATTTCCTTACAAAAAATGATGTTGGCAGATATGGCACATCCATTCATTCAGCAAACATCAGAATGCCTAAGTGCTAGATACTTATCATTGTTCTCGACAGTGAGCAACACTCCTGCATCTGTGTTGAGGAGTTGTGAACAAATGCCAGGTAGTGCAAAGAAGGGACTGAAAGAGTTGAAGAAAACTTCATACTGAAAGTAACATTTGAATTAGAGCTAGTGAGTTTCTATTCAGTGACTATCTGGCTTGATCACAAAAGCCAGTGAGGACTGTCTGGGGGTGTCTTTTTTTGGTCTGGGTGTCTTCAGGAGCTGCTGAGCTTGTCCTAGCCAGGCCGCTGTGATTTACAGGGCTCATTGTCTTTTTTTCAGGTTAGAAGTCTGCTGAAGTGGTATTCTGCAGAGTTCAAAGACTACCTGATGGAAGACCCCCCCTTGTGGTTTACATCATTTCTGTTTTGTGAGCTGCTGTTTCAGCTGCCGTTCTTTCCCATTGCAGCATATGCCTTCTTCAAAGGTTGGTATATGGTGGGAAGACCCCCATTCTCACAAATCTTTTGGGAAAGTATCTCCAAAGGAAAAAGGAGTTCCTGGAGTTTGCTTGAGCGTGCCATAGGACTCAGTAAAGAGACAGCAGTGTGGTTCAGGCTGATGCCCTGGTCAGCCAGGCTGCACAGCTGCCTCAAATGTCTGCAGTCTCATACACATGAAACCAGCGGCCATGTAAAAGAAGAGCTTACTCCCTTATCCCTCCTCCCCCAACACACAGAATTTATTATTGGCTTTATTCTCCTGCTTTGGATGATATCCTATTGATTTATAAGCAGTAGCATCAAGCTAATCCCTAAAAGGTTTCTCATTTAAATATTTTTAATGTTCACATACATTAAACTTTTTTTTTTTTGGAGACCAGGTCTCACTGCGTAGTTTAAGCTGGCCAGGTTCACTGTGAAGCCCAGCCTGGGCTTGAACTCAGTGATCCTCCTGCCTTAACTTCCCAAGTACTAGGATTACAGGCATGCACACCACACCTGGCTATTTAGTATGTTTATAAAAGTGGCCATACCGGGGCTAGGGATTTAGCTCAGCGGCATAAGCGCCTGCCTTGCAAGCAGGCAGTCATGAGTTCAATCCCCGGTACCAATAAAAAGGAAAAAGACCAAAAAAGAATAAAAAAAAGTGGCCATACCTCTGTACTTGGGTAACCAAGTTCCTACAGCTGGAAATACTGATCCCACACTGGCATCTGCAAGTTATTGGATCCATGCCCACATATGATTACTTCACAGACAGATGCTGCCAGCGATTCCCCTTTGCTTACATTTTAGGCCACACTGGTGGCGACAGTTTTACTGCCAGATGGTTTTTCCAAGTTATTATTCTTCCTCAGTTCTTTGGCAGTGAGCTAGGATCCCAGCTGCTATGTAAGTTTGCATGCTAACCGGCAGAAATCCAGTTTTCTGTTTGTTCTGAGTTTCTGCCTGCAGGGGGTAGTGACTCAATTGAGGAGGGCAGGGTAGAGATGTCCCAGATGATCCATGAACACAGCCATCTTCTCTCCCTCTCTGCAGGAAGCTGCAGGTGGATCCGTACCCCCGCCATCATCTACTCAGTTCACACTATGACAACTTTAATTCCAATACTTGCCTCCTTTCTATGTGACGATTTCTCCAAAACTAGTCGTTTCAAAGGACGAGGACCTCACACTTTCAGTGAACGACTCACCCTCATAAGCATCTATGCTCCCTACTTTCTCATCCCTCTTACACTGCTGGTCTTCATGTTGCGGAACCCCTACTACAATCATGAGGATAAAAGAAAGAAAAAATGAGGAAATAACTGCTGGCCAAGGAGAGAGGTGCCTTATATGGGCATCTTTCAGACTCAATACAGAAAAACTATTTGGAACTCATGGCTTCAGTGGCATTTGAAAACACGAGCAACAATACTTGAGAGCAAGGTGGCACAAGAGTCATGTCCACTTAGCAAGGGTGGGGGTATGTGGGCCATATTACAGGAATGTGGTACCTAAGATCCAGTGCAGGAGGAACAAAGGCAGGACCAGAACACAGACTTGGTAACCTATAAAACATGGCCTGCTTGCCACATTCTCAGTTGTTACAGAGCCAGCAGCCATGACTAAGCCCTTGACTGCAATTCTCTATAGATATCACTAGTCAACCAAATGAATAATGGAATGCTTCAGGCTACTTTAAAAGTAGAAACTATGGATCTTTTTTTTTTTCCCCAAGTTTTCATGAAAAAATTAGAAACTATGTATCTTTAATGGTCATTAAAAATTTCACTTTTTTCTTCTCTACTTCCTAGCCCTGGGGAAAAAGTGAAATATGCAAGAGGTTTAAGCCTTAAGGTTGCCCTTGTGTGACTTTCAGTCAGAAATAGGTTCATCTGGAAAGTGTTTTTGTTTCTGGCTTAAACTGGTCATCCCAAGAATTTTTTTTTTTTTTGTACTTGTAGTAGTCACTTGTAGTCTTATTTCAAAATCTTAGCCTTCCCTATTTTTAGAGACCACCTGAGATAATCCTCTTTAAAGTGTGGCATGTCAAGCTTGACCTGGAAGTATGCTTCCTAAAGGATAACTTTGCTCTTGTTAATACAGTCCTGTCCTTCCTGTCTTGTCAGTCCAGTGCACCCAATAACAGACCTACCTGCAAAGATGGAAAACAGCAGGTTCCCATCAATTCTGTGTTGCCCTTTGTGCTTAGAACCCACACTGCTCTGACTGTTGGTATAGTGTCTGTGATCTGTGTGTGTCTGGTCTAAATAAAGATAGCTGCAGCCACTGCCTGGTTTGTTTTGTAGAACAGGGGCTAGACCATCCAGGGTCCTATCACAAGGGGTTAAGCATATGGCAAGGCACTGGGGAAGAAAGGTAAATCAAACGATTTGAAAACAATAATTTATTGCTTTTCCTTCCAAAGTATTGTGAATTTACAAAAAAGAGCAAGGTTACAGGCCGCTTAGTTCATACTAAGAATACAAGAGGTGAGGACCTGCCCTGTGTGGCCACCAGCAGTGCTGAGCACTGATAAAACTTAATACCAGCTCCCCCAGATTTGTATTACTGCCTTTTGGGGCTGCGCTCCTTACACACCGCCTCATTACACACTTAGGTCATCAGTCAGGTCACTGGAATGGTAGCGGTTTTTTGGTTTGGAGGGACTTTTTTTTTTTTTTTTTTTTTTTTGCCTTCCTGCTATAAAAATGAAATTTTCAGTTCATTTCTGAAAAATAAATTGGTCAATAAATTCATTTTGTTCTGCTTCTACTTTACACAAAGCTTCATATTCAACTCGATACCTGAAAAACAAAATTGTTGAAGCCCTGAAAAGGATGCAATAAACCACAGGCTTAATTCTTCTACAAAAGAATATAGAGGTTTAAATGATTGCAAGAAATGGTATGAGTTCAGGGTGAAGTTAGTGAAGATAAGAAAGAGAAATGAGACAGGTAAAGTCCTTCCCAGGGCCGCTCGTGAGAAATCTGCAGCCCTGGGAAGGGGCCTCTTGTGGAGGGCTAGGCAGCTGTGGGCCCTTGCTATTTCAACTTTCGTGCTTAAAGTACTATTAGAAGGTGTTTGATGTTAGCCAGTTTTCCTTGAGATCAAATTTATTTTTAAAATCTCCAAATCAGGTAAGTGAGATGCTATTCCTCAGAAAATGATGAAGAATAAGATGAGGTGATCATTCAAGGAAAAGCAGAATTTAGTGGAGTAAACCAGGTTTACAATATGACTTACCTTTCCAGCTGCATTTTCTTTTCTGCTATTAGGGCTTGAAGTTGCTGTTGTTGGGCTTCTCTCTGCTTTGCTATAGATTTGAGCAAGTTCCGAGCACCAATGGCCTAAGAAACAGTATTTCCAGAGAAGGTCATGGCCTCATTAACACAGTCACAAAGGGGCCATAATCCATGTCCTGCTGCCAGGCAACTTGAACCACTGGTGTGATACATGCATCAGGCGGCTTTTGATTAATTTTATTAGTGAAAAGACTGATAAAAGTGATCAGATCCAGTTGTACCACCAGTGGTCAAGCGACCTGATGATACAGTCATCACCAGTACTATCACCAGTAGTCCAAGCCACTGACAATGTGTTAAACCCACCAACAGCAGGAAGTCCTCAAAGTGGAGAAGGGCTGTTTCAGAGTTATGTCAGTCTCCAGAGGGGCAAAGAAGGTGCTGCCCCATGGCGTTTGGGCTTAATCAGAAAGATTAACCTACTGCTCCCAAAGTGTTTGATGAGAACTGGCCTGCAACTCAAGTGAGGTCCAGCAGAACTCCCAGAGCCATGCTTGCAAGTACTCAGTGGCCTACAGTGTAGCAACATTCAGCTCTGTATGCTTCCTCCAGACATCTACACCATGCAAGCCTTTCTCCAACTGTGAAAGGAGAAAACCACCCATCCATGCTGATGTGAAGGTCAAAGAAAGTAATGACAAAGTAGACTGGCCTATGAGATCAGCAGGTAAACTGGACCAGAAATAGTGAAGATCTTGTTTTAATCAAATAAGAGAACCCATAAGCAAATTGAGAGGTCCCAGGCCAAGATAGATGACATGCTGATCTTACCTTCATCTTCTCATTTTCTGCTTCTTTTGCCAGTTGGTCAACAAGCTCAATTAGCCCACCAACTATTTTCTGAAACTGGCCAATTTCTTTTGAGGAAAGAAAGAACAAAAAATAAATTATTTTCTCATCTTTAGCATTCCCTTGATGCAAAGAGAGTAGAGCTAATTGCCCCTTCTAGTTTATAGCAAAAGAGTCTGGTGCCTTCTGGCTTAAGTTTCCCCTGCTCAGTGTGAACCTACAGCAGGTGGCCAGGTACCCAGAGCTGGACCAAGTATATCTGGACCCTGAACCACCACCAAGCCAGCCACCTGCTGTTACCTCAGGCTCCAGGTGGATCCGTTCTGACATACCCTAACCCACCCTCCCTCCCACACGAAGCACAAAAAGAGTTCCCAAAGGACTGTCTCAGAACATGTGGCCTCAAGTAGCCATGGACACAACACAACAGGTGTCGGTGGGGGTGGGAACTTTCCACCTGTAACCAAAGTAAAGAGCACCTAGCATTTGAGTGCCAGGTGTTCATTCACATTTTTAATGACCTTGGTAGGCTGGAACCCCACTTTATTGGGGGAGCCTAAGATCTAGCATCTACATAGCAATCACAGAAGATTGGCAGTGGAATCCAAGCAACCTCTCAAACTCCACTGCCCAGGGAGCCCCAAAAGGCTCAGAATCACTTATTCTAGCTAGATCCAGCTCTATCCACTGACACTGATCTTATACCTGTGGGCCAGGCAACTTCTTGGAGATTTCTAGCCCAAACTCCACTAAGTTTGGTGAGGTGCTTCAGAAACTTTATTACGTCTAACTCCAAATAATGGAGAATCTGCCCTAAGAGCACCATTTCCACCAAGAAGTCAAGTCAAAATACCTAACTGCATATCCTGCCCCCAACCACTGGTTCTGCCCCATGAAGTTGAAGGTTTTTGAGCAAAAAAATAGGGAAAAAAATTGTAGATAGCACATCTAAAAACCCCTCCTGTTCCAATGTTGGCTCAATGTGGGGCTATTGAGGGCATCAGAAGAGGGGACGGAATTCAGGTCAGGCTCAACCTCCATGGAGTCAGCAGCTGCATTCTGCCAAGGCTAAGAGCTGCAGGCAGGAGCTGGGGTGGAGCAGCTGGAAGTGATCAAAGATGAGTGATGTCCTGTCTCCTGCAAAGGTACTCACTGTCCACAAAGTCCTTGCACTCTTCCTTGAGCTCTATGGTCTGCTGCGTAACCTCTGGGTCCAACACTCGCAGCTTATTCAGCTCATCAAAGTGCAACCCAGCTTCACCCAGGATGTCTTTGGCCATGGCTGCAAAGAAAACAGTCCGAACACCCAGTCATTTCCCATCACCCAAGGACATGTCTCCAGCCCAGGCCATGCCTTCCCCCAGACACCAACACCCAAACCCCACAAGTTCCAAGGCCCCTGTTTTCCCTCTGTCTCCACCTCTCAGCCTCACCTGTTTCCCTCCGAGGTTCCCTAGGGAAGTTCTGCTCTGAAGGGGTGACAGTGGCAGTCAGGAGGAGGTGTGTCATAGGAGCAAGGGTCGGGAAAGAGTAAAGTCCAGTTGCTTGGCACAGACATCCTTCATTCAACACACATTTCTTGAGTGCCTACTACATGCCAGGACTGCTAGATGCTGGGGGTACAGAGATGAATGCCACATGATGCCCGCCCCGTAGGAGCACATAGTTCAGCTGGAGGAAGATAGACATGTAAGCTGAAAAATACGCTGCGTTAAATGCTTTTTCAGAAACATCAAAGGAGAGCAGGAAGAGGACAAAGCAGTTAAGTGAGTGGCATCTGGCCTAAGTTGTGAACTAGAAGCATGTTTATAATCCCCAGTTATGTACCCAAAAGGACACAAACAGGTTTGCACTGGAATAACACAAAAAACAAAAGAAAACTTGGATGAAGTAAAACTCAGAGGTAAATATAAGCCAGATGTGGCAACCCATTCAGGACCCCTGTTGTCTCAGGAGCTATTCCTATTCCCCATTCCCCCATTACTGTTCTCTATTCCTTTTCTCCAATACATTTTCCTTAAAAAAAAAAAAAAAAAAAAACTGTCCAGAGGTGCAGGCATATTCATGTGATCCCAACACTTAAGAGGCTGAGGCAGGAGGATCACCATGAGCTCAAGGGCAGTTTGGGCTACATTGCAAGTTCAAGGCCAATGTGAACTACAGAGTGAGACCTGTTTTCAAAAGACTAAAAAAGAAACTAAAATGTAAAAAACAAGAGCAAAAAAATTATGGTTAAAAAACAAATCACAAAAAATTAACGTAATATTAGCTAAAATATATGCCAGAATATACTGTACAGTTTCTGGAATTAGGAATGCAAGTTGGGTCTCTTATCAGAAAACAAAAAGGAATGAAGTACCAGCAAGAACGTACCAAGTAAGGAGGCCAGGTAAAGGCGTGCCTAGCAGAGAAAACACCATGGACCTGAGCCCAGTGTCACTGAAAGGGCCTGTCCTGCCAAAGAACGGAAGGAAAAAGAATGGTGCTAGAAAAATGGATTGGGGCCAGATCAAAGAATCTGTGAACCAAGGTAAGGTGTATAGATTTTTATCTCAGGCAACAGAGAACCAACAAAGATATCTTCTGCCTCCCCAAGTCTTTGGCCCTTCATTCCTGGTCCAAAGGATGCCTCAATTCTGGAAGAAACACTGCTTCAACTTCCACTGCTTCCCTTCAAATGAGTCCCTGCTCTGGTAGTGCAGTGAAGAAAATGCCTCTAGAAAGACAGTAAACAAACAGCCACTGTGATGATAAGATGTGGAAAAGCATCTGATGCTATGTGAATATGCAGCATGACAACAAAACTCATACAACAGAGGAGTATCAACAAAGACCTACAAAAGTGATGCTTGGGGCTGGGGATTTAACTCAGGGGCATAAGCACCTGCCTTGCAAGCAAGCAGTTGTGAGTTCGATCCCCAGTACCCCCCCCCCAAAAAAAAGTGATGCTTGGTTGGACATGGTGGTACATGCCTGTAATCCCAGCACTCAAGAGGCTAGATCAACAGAAGTTCAGGGCCAACCTGGGCTACCCAGTGAGGTCAAGACCATACTGAAACATAGCAAGACCCCATCTTAAAAAACAAAACAAGTAAGTGATGTTTGAATAAAGACATAAAGGATGTCCAGAAGTTTAAGTGACAGCAGAAGGAGATATTCTACGCTGAAAGAAAATCGTGGGAAGAGTCTGAGGCTAGAGGAAATCTGCCCAAGAGCTTAAAGGCTAGTGTGATCAAATGGAGAGAGAAACAGGATGAAGCCAGAGAGGAAAGCTAGAGTTGGATCATATAGGGCTTCAAAAGCCTCAACAGTAAGCTACATCCTCAGACATTTGGGGGCAAGGGTGTTGGGGACTGAACCCAGGGCCTTATGTGCAAGGCAGTGGCTCTACTACTAAGCCACATCCCTAGCCCTTTTTTTCTTTTTTGAGACATGATCTCTCACTAAGTTACCTAGGTTGGACTTGAACTTGCAAACTTCCTGCTTCAGCCTCCCAGAGTGCTAAGATTACAGGCACACACCATCACATCCAGATGAGTTTGGATTTATAACAGGAATGGCAGCTGGTGGGTTCTCAGCAGAGTAACTATCAGCTTAAAAGATCACTCTGTCTTGGCCTAGAGATTATACTGGATGGAACAAAAGAGCAACTACCTGATTCCTCACTGCAACCCTAGCACCTTGCAGGCTACCTGCACATAACTGGCACTCAATAAATGCAGAATGAATGACTGTGAAAACAGGAAGCCATTAACAGACTTGCAAGTGAAAACAAGTGTTCCGAGTTGAGACGTTTTCTGAGTTGAGTTGGTATGGTTAGTGATGGAATGACAACGTGGGGGTTTGGAGGTGAGTAAACAAGAGAATGAGGCATGATTCCCAGAAATCTGGCTTGGACCAAGTGTATGGCGGGAGAGCATAGTTTAACGAGATGAGTAAGATGGAAGAGGTATGTAAACAGAGGTTCACAGGAGAAGACTTCGAGACTTTCCCAACTCCCCACCACCCACGTGACTGAGCACTGGAAAATAGTGGGCGCGGGGATCCAGAACTGAGCTCCCGAGGCATAGACACGCTTTTGGTGCCTCGGTTCTCCCAGATCCATGCTAGGCACTACGAACAAGATCCATCCATGGGATGGATCCACCTGGCAAAAGTTAGAAAAGGCGGAAGCCCAATTGCTGGTGCTTATCCCCTTGTATTACCCGAGCAGCAGTTTCCTCATAAGATCGTTGCGAACATCAACGCACCAAGCTTAACTAAACTGGGTTTGAAACCACTCCCTAAGAATTTCGTAGGGAAAACGTTCACGTTTCTTTTGACCTGGGTTTGCCTTTACAGAGCGGGAGCCTGTCTTCATCCCCTTCGCCCCTAATCTGCCCGCATCCTCCGACCCGAAGTCACGGCCTACCTGTCGACCCAGTAACTGCTGCTGTTGTGGGCACACAGCTCCTCTCTCCTGTACGCTGCAGCCAACCCGCCCGCCTCGGCAGCTGCCACGGCTACAGGACCTGTTTACCCACAACTTCACGCCAGACACCGGAAGCACTTACCCCCGCCCATCCCACAGAGCCTATTGGGAAACAGAGTCCAGGAGCTGCCTACAAGACCCAGAGACCTTTGCGCCAACAAGGTCTCCGGAAGTAGTTGCCTTGTCGTAAAGAGGGGCGGGGTGGGGGTGGGGAACTGGGCATTCTGTCTCCGCCCGCAGAAAAAGTATTATGCATGACGGGCCTTGTAGTCTCAGTTTCCAGCGTAGGCAGGGCTGGCCTCTCCGCCGGGAGGAGTCGGCGGGCGCAGGATATGAGCTCACAGTCCGGGATCGCGAGCGGGCAGGTGGCCACGGGCCTGGGGCGGTACGGAGTCCCCTTGCCACTCAGCTGAAAGCAGAAGAGCCCCCGGGACGGTGAGAGCTACCTACAGCCGCCGTAGGGAAAGAGGTGTTCGAACCCCATGCCGGGACCTGGGCAAAAGCCACGGGACAAGGTAGGGAAGGTGGAGATTTTAAATCTTCCACTGAGGGGTGAGTGTCAGTTGATGTTGGTTTTGTGAGAGACGGCTGCGGGCTGGAAAGGAGCCTACACTGGCCACCAGAGAGATTGGTTGTTGCTGAGTATCCTCAAGACCCTTTGGATGAAGCCTAAGATTCACCGCAAGATTTCTGCTCGGCCCCGCGGTCTTTAGCCAAGAACTCCCTTTCACCCGCCGCTCCCCATTATTTGACGGATTTGTGGATCCATTTCCCTTTAGGACCTCACCTCCTTCCACCGCCGCAGTTATTTGTCTTTTGTTCTGCTTGGGTCCCCATTGGCTTCTCTGCGTGAAACACGGACCCGCCCCCAGCCCTAGCATCCCCAAATAGCCACACACAGAGTCCGGAAGGAAGAGCGCTGAGGCTACTGGTGGAAACTTCATTCTCGCTGGAATTACTTTCTGGGGCGTCACCTGCCACGGGATTCCTGAAACCCATTGGTCTGAATGGAATCAGCCCTTACGTCACCCGGGGTTTAAAGCAATTGCTTTGTAGGAAAAGAATAGATTAGTTCAGGATTTGTCTTGGCAAGCCTTCCGCTGAGTTCCTTTGACTTGGCAAGAGAGTGTGTATTGCTTTTGGGGGCGTGCGGTTTGGGGTTTGGATTTTGGTTTTTTGTGATATTGGGGATTGAACCTAGGGGGAGGTCTACCAGTGAGTTGTATGCCCAGCCCTTTTCGGCTTTTATTTTGACACAGTGTCTCACTAAGTTGCTCAGGCTGGCCTTGACCAGTCGCCACCAGGTCCAGCTGTATGTGTGCTCTCTTTGATCTTAGGGAAACTGGAACTGAACACAGAAATATCTTCTTATGGGATATTTAGTCTGCTAAAACTTGTTCAGAATTAGACATACTCCTCTAGGGTGGGCAAAGAAGGTCAGGTGACCTCATACCATTCTAGTATAGGTTAGTCATTGGGTAGTTTCTTGTCTCCTGGACAAACCACTAAAGGCACAGGACTAGCTCCGGCCCTTGTTGAGCATTCTTCCCAGGGACCTACCTAAATATGTATGTGCATGTGCAGTGTGAATGTGTGTGTCTCACTAGAAATTGACCTTAGGACCTTTGCACTGAACAAGATCCCCAATCCTTTAATATTTTTTCATTTTGAAATTGAACGGCCAGGTGTGGTGGTGCATGCATTGCAGGAGGTTCACTGCAAGTTCAAGGCAGCCTGGGCTACATAATGAGTTCAAGGTTAGCCTGAACTACAGAACAAAACTGTCTCAAAAAACAAAACAGGAGGCTGGGGATTTAGCTCAACGGTATAAGCTGCCGGCCTAGTGGGTGCAAGATGGTGAGTTCGATCCCCAGTGTATAAAAAAAAAACAATCAAAAAATACAGTGCTACTGCACTAAAGACTTGAGGGGAAATTTACCTTCAAGCAGGGTAAGGGATAAGTCACTTTTGAAGCTGATTGCCTGAGTTTAAAGCCATCTGGGCTACCATATTGAGTTCAAGATGGGCCTGAATTATTTAGCTAGACACTGTCTTAAAAAAAAAAAAAAAAAAAAAAAGAAGCGGGGGGCAAGGGGAGTCCCACTAAATCTCTTGAATAGCCCAGGCTGAGCCGGAACTTTCAATCTTCCTGCCTCAGCCTCCCAGATTACTAAAATCACAGGTGTATGCCACCACACTCAGCTCTGTATAAATCTCTTCAGGAACAATTTAGTCTGATAAACTGACATGTTGAAAGCTTAAAATGTACCTGGCACTGTTGAGGAGCAGAGAGCAGTAAACTTGGGGAAACCAGTGCTATGCCTCCAACTTGCGCTTAGATTATGAGCAGCTGGAAATTCTGATGTTATGAGTGTGAAATGAGGCAATTTGACTTGTTTTTCCCCTGTCTCCATTACCACTGCTCTGGTCTGAGCCTGTGTCATTTTTTCCCAGAACCACCACTTCCTCTGACCTTCCCATTTCTTCTCATGCATCTTTACAGTCCCTTCCTTACTTAGCCACAGTTACCTTTGCTAAATATAAAGAAATCAGACCACATCACTGCTTGAAGCCTGGCAGTTGATTCTTCATACTATATTGCAATTATATCACAATTAATAAAAAACCCAATGCTGAGGGGCAGTGGCAAATGTAATTCCAGCACTCAGGAGGCTGAACTCAGTGATCCTCCTGCCTCAGCCTACCAAACTCTTTACTGTCATCTACAGCCTGGTTTCCCCAGCTTTGCATCAAACTACCTGTCCCCTGCTTTCTCCACACTAGGAGTCATGTTCTTATTTCTGCTCCTAAAACTTGGAACAGAAGGTTTGTACTTACTCTTCCACCTGGAATACCAATGTGCCACCTTCCCAGAGGCTTTTCCTGTCCCTCTCTCTAAATTACCACCTGTTCCTAATCACTCTTCTTATCACTGTTCTCTTCATTGCATTTATCAGCTTACACCTTTCACAATTGTCTGCTTGCTTCCAAATATATATATATATGTATTTTTTTTTTTGAGCCATAATCTTACTATGTACTTCAGGCTAGCCTCGAGTTAACTTCAGACCTTCTCCCTCAGCCTCCAGAGTGTTGGAATTACAGACATACACCATCATACCTAGCTTGTTTCCTTCCTCTAGAATGAGGAAAATGACTCTTTGTATTTGTTCTTTGTTCCCAGTGCCTGGCACTAATGTCCTTTGGGGATTTTGTCTGTTTGTTTTTGGTTCTTGGTTTTTTTCCCCTTGTCACAGCATCTCACTATGTATTCCTCTATGACCTTGAACACAGAGCAGTCTTCCTGCCTCAGCCTCGTAAGAGCTAGAATTATAGGCACCACCATGCCCAGCTTTGTGATGTTCTTTAAGACAAGGACAGCATCTTTGCATGATTCCCCACTGATGCCCACTTGTTTAACATAGTAGGCATTCTGTAGTTCTACTGCTAAATGAGTCAAATAAGTCATATACTAAATGTTTAGACTTGGTTTATACTTGGTTTACAGCAAGCATGCAGTGAATGGTAACTGTTGTAGGTTTTTCTTCATTGAGTTTTAGTGGGGGCTTTTGGGTTTTTTTTTTTTTTTTTTGCTACTGGCGATCAAACTCAGGACTTCACACTTGCCAGCAGCAGGTGCTTATGCTGCTGAGCTACATCCCCAGCCCCTCAGTGATTCTTTAGATAGCCAAAATAAATGTTTGTCTTACAATATTGCTTTAAGAACCTCTACAGATACCAACATCCATGAATGCTCCACCTTCTCAGCTTCCCAGTGCTGAAATTATAGACATGCGCCACATCCTGGCTTGTTTCAAATACTTGCAGCCTACTATTGGTTGAACCCACAGTTCTGGGACCTAGAATAATATAAATGACAAGGTGGTGGGGTGTGGCTAAGATGTAACTTGTGAGAGAGACTTCCTCATCTCTTGGTTCTGTGAATTTATTTTAAATTTTTATTTGCATTTGTTTCATGCTTAATTCATTTCCATGCTATAAGTTTTTTCTTGCTTACTTTATTGTGGGCTTTTTCTTCTGCACAACTTCCTTCACTGGTTTTGTTCCTTTTCAGTCAGGATGGTCTCAGTGTGGCAGGGACAGTGCTCCAATGGGTTAATGCAACCATGAGCTCTTTAAGTACTCAGCGTGTCTTATGTACCATGTTCACTAGGATATGTTCAGTGACCAGAGAATCTACAGCTAAACCCCAAGTTCAGCATTACTCTGCATTTTTAAGCATGTGCAGCAAACATTCAGCGCTCTGTCTGGGCCACTGACCCTGTCTGGCCCCATTGTTTGGCCCGGGCACACCCACCAGCTCCATGGAGTTGCTTCTTTAAAGTGACATCCTTCATATACTTGGTGGCTTTCGGATATGCGTAGCTTTGATGGCCTGGGCAGTTTCAGGTGTTCTTAAAGTGAGCAAGAAGATTTGACTGTCTTTGATTTGCATGATATTGTGAGTTTTTCTAGGTCAAGAGCAGCAAACTATCTTCCCATATTACCTCAGGCCACTTACAAGAAAGCTGTGCACTATTACCCTGTTAATTCCTGTGCTGTGCATGGTGGCACTCTCTCATAATCCCAACACTCCAGAGGGCTGAGGCAAGAGGATTGGAAGTTGACACCTACCCTGGGCAACTTAGTGATTTAGCAAGACTTCATCTCAAAATATAAGAAAAAAAAATTTTTTTTATTTTTAAGGGGTGAAGATGTGGCTCAGTACAGAGACCCTAGATTAAATCCCCAGTACTGCCCCCCCCACACACAAATTTCACATAACCTTTTTTATATTTGTCATCTGGTCTTTCTGGTCCTTTCTCCCATTCTCAGTGGGAGGGAAGAGAGGAGAAGATAGGGCTAGGCTCCCTCTTGGAAAAAGAAGCAAAAATAACCATTCTGTAGTTATTTTGCCTTGAAAACTGGTGACAATTTCAGGAACCAGGGGGCAAGGCTGGTGCCAAGAAAGGAAAAGGCCAGGAAAGCCAGTGGGTGCCCAGGTAACCTCTGCCAAGCACACTGGCCAGCTGCCTGCAAGCTGTCTGGCTCCATCCTCCAAGAACCACACTCTCTTTCCTTCCTGAAGCCCGGCTCCCTCCCCTAATGCTAACTAAGCCCTGGCCAGGCTGCCTCTGGGCTGTAGTCTTGAGGAAGGAAGCGCATCCTGTCCTGCTGGCTCCTGGGAGGCCCTAGGCACGCTGGACTCCCTTAGTTGGGCTGTGGTCTAAGTGTAGGTCTCTGCAGTGAGCTGTTCGCCAGCCCCTCTCTGCCTCATTCCAGAGTTTGCCTGTTCTCCGCCGCCCAGTTTTGAGCGGAGTCTCAAGCTGGTGATGTAACCACGGCAGGGCTCTGGGAGACCGTGCTCCTGCTGCAGAAAAGGGAACAGCTGCAGAGCCTTTCTTCTGGGTGCCTAGGGACTGAGCCTGCTGGGAGTGCTGGGCTCCTTAAAGAGGGGTCACTGCAGCCAGAGCTCCCACTGCTGTCATCCTGCCATTTGAGGTCGCTGTTCCGCTGACTTCTATTTTTCCTCTTGCTCCCAGAGTTGAGAGTATGAGGCTCTGGCCTCACCTGTGACCACTTCCACCACAGTGGAGCCTTCCAAGCCCACCTCCTGTCGTGTGGTGATCTACCTGCAGCGGGAGATGTCTGGGGACACCTGTTTGTGCCCCACCTCAGGGGCCAAGCCCAAGCTAAGCAACTTCAAAGGAGGAGGGCTGGGCAACAAGTATGTGCAGCTCAACGTGGGCGGCTCCCTGTACTACACCACCGTGCGGGCGCTCACGCGGCACGACACCATGCTGAAGGCCATGTTCAGCGGGCGCATGGAGGTGCTGACTGACAAGGAAGGTGAGGCATCGGGGCACGGAGGACAGGGCGGGAGCAGAGAGGGCCCTGAAGAAGTGACTTCAGGACTGGGTTAGGCCTGCTGGATCTGGAGTCCAGATTCACCTTTCCCCTTGACAGAGTGTAAAACTTCTTCGCCTGTCCTTAGGAGCCTCAGAGTCCTTTGAACGATACCTAGGATGGGCCGGGAGTATAGCTCAGTGACACGGCGCCTGCCAGGCAAGTGCAAGGTCCTGAGTTCGACTCCCGGTACCAAAATACATATGTATATACGCATAGAGTGTCATATGCTTATCTATTTTCTAGAGAGAAGAGCCATTTGTTTTTTGTTTGGTTATTGCTTTGTTTGTTTTTTGTGATGGTACAGATGGATAGAGTGAACCTAGGGTCTTCAGGCTTAGCTGTATCCCCAGGCTTTGGGCTTGAATTTGAAATCCTTCTGCCTCAGCCTCCCAGAATGCTGGAATTACAGGCACGTGCCACTATGCCTAGCTTCATACCTTTTAAATATTCATATCGGACTAGACTTGCAGTGATGGCAAAGCTTTTAGGACTTTCAGTGACACGGCCTGTGTGTGCCATAAGTTTGCCACCTCGAGCCTGAAGTCTCCAAGCTGTCACTTGAGTCTGAGCAGAGGGGAGAATGCTAAGGGCTGGTGGTCTCTGGGTCACCAGGGTGGGCTGCAGCTCCTGAGTCAGACCTTCATGGGCCTGCGTCTCCCGAGGCACACAGCTCTTGCGTGCAGGGAGGAAGGATGAAGGCAGCCATGGACCCTAGGTCCTTTCTGTGTCTGTCACCTTGGACCTGGGCTGTATATCCCTTGCTGCCCACCACCTGCCTGATCAGGTGCCCTTTGCCTGCTTCCGAGGCAAACAGTAACTCTGCGGGGCCTGTCTGAATCCCTGACTCCAGGCTGGATCCTTATAGACCGATGTGGAAAGCACTTTGGCACCATTCTGAGTTACCTCCGGGATGACACCATCACCCTCCCTCAAAACCGGCAAGAGATCAAGGAGTTGATGGCTGAAGCAAAGTATTACCTCATTCAGGGGCTGGTGAACATGTGCCAGACGGCCCTGCAGGTACGGGGGCAGGGGTGGAGGGGCCTCATGCATAGGGAGCTACCCCCCCCCTTCCTTGTGCTGGCAGTGAGGCTGATGGGCCCACACCCGCTAGGACAGTAGGTGTGGCTGTGGTCCAGCAAGCTGGTAGCCAGGTGTCCCACTCAGCATGGTGAACAGGCCCTACCTCAGTCATGTGCCCGGATGCGCAGACTTCAGATTTCCTAGACAGGCGCCTCCACTTGCTAACAGGCAGTGTCTGTTACCAGGTGCTTCACGAACTCTGTCTGTCTGTCCTTACCAAGTAGGGGGTAGCTAAGGCAGAGGGGCGCTGTGGGTGCCTGGCTGAGCTCTCCGCTCTGTGTGTGGGTACCACCCAGGACAAGAAGGACTCCTATCAGCCTGTGTGCAACATCCCCATCATCACGTCCCTGAGGGAGGAGGACAGGCTCATCGAATCCTCCACCAAGGTACTGGGAGCTCGGAGGGCGGCGGCCTGGGGCTGCCAGGGCCTGGGGCTGGTGCTCACTGTCTTCCCCCTCCACAGCCTGTGGTGAAGCTGCTGTACAACAGAAGCAACAACAAGTACTCCTACACCAGGTAGGGCGGGGCCTGCCCAGGGGGCAGCAGTCGAGAGGCTAAGCGGCTGGCTGGCCACAGGCCCGAGGGAAGCCGCTCATACTCCTGGTGTGGATGGCATCTGGGTCTTAGACTCGCTTATGCTAAGGGGAAGAGGAGGGAGGAGAAGGGGATTGCACAGAGGCTTTTGGGATTTGGCCCGGGGCCCTGTGGAGTATCAGCAATGGGACAAGAACTGCTCCCTTCACACGTGTCATGTCAGGATTATGCTTACCAAGGGGAGGAGGGTGTTGGGAAGCCAGTGGGCCAGGAGTCCCCCTAAACCTTCTGGACTCTTGTACTGACTTTCCCTGTGGCCACCCTTAGATACACAAGTCTTACACTCTCTCCATGGTCCCCGTAGGCCGGCACATTGCCAGGGTCACCCCCAAGGGAAGAACACCACCTACTGAGGGAGCAGTGTGACTCATCCTCCAGCTTATGGAGAGGCTACTCTTCCCTCACTTCTCTCTAACACAACTTAGAACCAGCTCAGTCCCTTTTCCTCAGACACTCAGATTCCAAGGGTGCCCCATAACCCTGTATCTCCCTGCCCCTCGCCCTCCTGACTTGTCTTCATTGACTTGACTTCAGGGTGATGGGCATAGTGGGGAGGGGAGAGCCATCCTGCCCCAGCAGCGCCCCCTCGTGCCAGAACCTCATTCCAGGCCCGCTGGGTTTTTCAGCAACTCCGATGACCACTTGTTGAAAAACATCGAGCTATTTGATAAGCTGTCCCTGCGCTTCAATGGCCGAGTGCTCTTCATCAAGGATGTCATTGGTGACGAAATCTGCTGCTGGTCCTTTTATGGCCAGGGCCGTAAGCTGGCAGAGGTGTGCTGTACCTCCATCGTGTATGCCACAGAGAAGAAGCAGACCAAGGTATGTGGCCTTGTTCTGCTCAGGGGCAGGACAGCAGCCAGAGCCCTGGTGCACAGCACCATGCTGCCCAGCTGAGCCCTTCCCACAAGATCCCAAAAAGGCCTCACATTCTGTTCTCTTTCCCAACCTTGCTCTGTGGTGTTCTCCTCAGTTTCCTTGTTTGCAAACAGCGGAATGAGAGCATGAATTTAACAGAGATTTGGAAATGAGACAGTGCTTAGAAAAGCAGTGTGGCGTGGGGGACATCACCGAGCTTTGGAGTTAGAATGCTGTTCCACGCCTGATCAGTCACCTTAGCTCCTGCAGTTACCAGACATTTCACAGGTGACAATTTCTACAAAAGCAGCCCTTTTCTACCAGGAAGCAAGCAGGGGTCCTGGCCAGAGGCGCTGTCTCCCCTGAGGGCCTGGGCAAGTTGCAGTCCACCTGGGGAGGCCGAGTGGGTGTGAAGGGCTAAGGATATCGAGGCCCGAGCAGCATGGTCTTGGCCCCCAGGTTGCTGCAGGCCTCTAGTTGTGTGGGAGTCTGCTGAGGCTGAGGAAGGACTGCTGACAGGTGGGGAGCCTGCTCCCCATGCAGGCTTTGGCAGTGGGATCAGCAGAGAAGGGGAGGAGCGAGAAACTTAGCACAGGCTCCCAGTCACGTCAGTGGGGTCAGGGCTCAGGGCTGCTGAGGTGTGGCAGTGGTAGTGTGTGTCCTGTCAGATTTCTAAGTGTCTTCCTGTGCGTGAGCTCCCTCGACCGCTCACAGCATACCTGCAAGGCTGGCAGGCCAGAGCCGCCCTTCTCCTCTGCTAGATGAGGGCACAAAAGCTCCCTGTGGCGCAGCAAGGTTGCTAGTATAACTCTGAGGCCTTCACTGCCGTCCTGTTTCTCTTCGACAGGGGGCGAGGTAAGCAGTAAAAGGAAATGGAATAGCCAGGTGCAACATAAAACCTAACGGGGGGGTTGTAGCTCAGTGAGGACACCCTGGACTCAATCCAAAGTACTGCAAAGATAGACAAATAAAAACAGGGATCGGAGCCACTGCCCCGGCTGGTGTTGATCTACAGGTTCCTTCATCAGCCTCCCAGACAGCAGGGATTATAGGTGTGTGTTTCGGGTTTATTGGGTTGGTCACTGCATGTCAGGCGTTTGGTGAAGAGATAGCTGTTAACCATCACTTGACATCCAGGAACTGCAGCCCTGAAACCTTAGCCCCAAGTTCCCTCCCTAGTAAACGGGAGTGTTTAGACGAAAGCCCACTGCCTGGACACCTGGAAGGCAGTGCCCCGCGAGGCTGGTGTTCCCCTTCGGTACCCTTAGGCCTGAAATCTCCTCACACCTCCTCCAGACCCACTTCCCTCGGGAGACTGCCATCTGTCGCTCTCCTTACACAGCAGCACAGGGCCAACCCCTGACACTGCGCCTCACTGAGGTGAGACCTCACCTGGCCCCACACCCTCACCCCAGGTGGAGTTCCCAGAGGCCCGGATCTATGAGGAGACGCTCAATGTCCTGCTCTACGAGACTCCTCGAGTCCCTGACAACTCTCTGCTGGAAGCCACGAGCCGCAGCCGGAGCCAGGCCTCCCCTAGTGAGGATGAGGAGACCTTCGAACTGCGGGACCGAGTGCGCCGCATCCACGTCAAGCGCTACAGCACTTACGACGACCGGCAGCTTGGCCACCAGTCAGCCCATCGTGACTGACAAGACCCTAGGGAGGCCCACCCCAGCTGCCACCCCACACTGCTGCTGGCTGTCTTGCTGCAGCACCTGAAGGCATGATGGGCCATGCTGGGCGGTCAGAGGGCCTAGGCAGCGAGGGGCCGTGGCTTGTCCTGGCCCCAGGCACTTCCAGATCTCTCTTTCTACACGAGGAGCTGCTTCTGCTCTGGGGTAGACGGTCTGCCCCCCCTCCTCCCGCCAAGAACATTCCCTTAGCCCTTTGCTCAGTGCCCCCTTCTCAGTTGAGGCCCACCAGAAGCTTTATTCTAGGCGGCAAGGTGGCTTTTGGTGCTGTGGAAGCCCAGACTTTAGCAGAATGGAGGCTTCTTTTTTCCTAAGGTGTCTAAGCACAGGTTTGATGATTTTTTTAAATAGTTTAGGAAATTAACAGTTTTAAATCTAATAAAGGGCCTAGACATTTCTGCTACCCCTCAGAGTGCAAGGGCCCTGGAGAAGCCAGAGCCTTCAGGCCGTCTTGATACCTTTGGGATCTGTCTTTGAAGCACTTTGTACTGATATTCAGGAGGTTTGTCATTTACCCTGACCGATGTCTTTATGATCCTAATCTCCTCTAGCAGAATTAGTCTGAGGGAGGGGATAAAGAGGAAGCAATAAAAAAAATCCTCGGGGCTGGGGATTTAGCTCAGCAACGTAAGCACCTGCCTTGCAAGCAGGAGGTCATGAGTTTGATACCTGGTACCGAGAAAAAGAAAAAAAAAATTAAAAAAAGAGTTAAAAAAAAAAAAATCCTCAAAACCAGGCAGTTGAGCTTTGCCAGCCTGGCCAGCCAAGAGCATCAAGGAAGGAAGAATGTAAAAGTTGGGACCTGTGGTGTGAACAGCATTCTGTGAGGAGACATCTCACTCCCATAGCTTGCAGGGACCAACAGGATTGCACCTTTGGATTCTGGTCCTCCAGGATGCTGTCCTCTCAGGCCATAATGCCAGAGGCTGGTAACAGGTGTGGAGCTAGGCACCAGGAAGGCCATAAACCTGTGAACCCCGCACAGTGCTGGCATGGGTACAAGTGGCCGAGGCTTGTCCATATGTCTGCCCTCCCTGACACCCGTGCTATTTACTTGTTTAAATCCTGGCTAGGGAAGGTGGTTGTGCTCAATGGTGAGTCTCTGGGCAAAGGAACCATAACAACCTATGCCCCTTGAAGACCTTCATTCCACTTGCTAGGTCATCTGGCCGTGGGATGCCGCATGCCAGCCAGAGTGCATTCCCCCTCAGGACTTCGGTTTTGCCCCCTTGCTTGGCCTGGCTCCCAGCAGACAGCGTATTCTCTGCAGAGGAATGCTGTCAGGGAGGGAGCAGTGTGACCATGGCCAGTCTCACACTCTCAGGAAGGAACACGGCTGCCAGACTCGCCCATCCCTAAAACTGCTAAGTGGCTGCTCACAGCAGATCGCAGGGCCTCTGGAAAAACACTAGCCCCAGCACTGGACACTGACAAGGGCCCAAATGACAGGATGGGCAAGGCAAATGTGACTTACTAACCAGGCATTTCTTGTTAGTCACACTCTTGAATGTATAAATAGCTCTCAGGCCAGGTGTTAATAACCAGCTACCAGTCTTCCAGCCCTCACTGGAGTTAAAATGACAATCCATTTCTTTGGCCAGATTCAGGCTTTGGCTTTGTGGCTTTACTAGAGACTGGCATGCCTCAGCCTCAGGCCAACACACTTATTTTCTCAGTGGCCCTAATCAAGCCCTTTAATAAACTCCCAGCTCCCCCAGGTATTTTCATGCTTGTCCTTCAGCCTCCGCACCCCCTCACCTGCTAATTAGTCTTTGTCATTCAGGCCTCTGCCACAGCAGTGATACCTACTTTTAATCTTGAGAAAGCACAGTAGTTGGTCTGGGCATTTTTGTTTTCTGTTATCTCCAAGATCTTAAGGAAAACACTAACACTGAACTGACATGATCTTGGCTTCTTTAATCAGACAGTTTGGGGGATTTCTTAGCCCCATTCAAGAAAACAGCTCTTGGCAGTGTGAATTTTTGAACATCAGCCAAGCAAGGGAGAAACAAAAGAATGGATTAAGGCCAGACTTGCTTGTTGGTGTCTGAGAAAACTGGAAGCTTGCTGTTAACACAGACCAGTGCTTGTTTTTGTTGAGTTTGATGTGTGACCATAGTCTGCCTAAAGGATGGCACAAATCCTGGCAGGAGAGAACTTTTCTTTTGTCACATAACTGCAATCCTTTGTTCATAGTCTGAGGGAAGTGAACACTAACTTGTAATAAAACTGTTATACTGCGATGGTCCACAGCCGTGTTTACATGTGCACAGTGGCTCAGAGCTCAGAGCTGCGGGTTCAATTCTCACATTCGGTTCCCATATGACTTCCTGTTCCAGCTAGGTCATAAGAACTACACGAGAGTTGGAACTGCAATTTTAATATTAATTCAAGAATGAAACTACCTCTTAAGAGTCACTGCAGTGGCAGGAGAGAAGGAATCCTAAATGGGGCAAAATGTTGCCTGATTTGTCTCTGGTTCTTGGAGGCCTGAGAGAAGCTCTTAAAGTGGCCCGGCTTGGTCACTGTCCATACCTTAAGCTTCTCCTTAACCGATTTCCTGCATCTCGGTGGAATGCACAGCAGGCAAACCCAAGGTGCCTGGAAAGCCAACCGGCTGACCTCACTCCTCTCTCATCCCCATCCTGGCAAGGCCAGAGGTGCTAGTGCTTGGTCAATGCTAAGAGCTAAGCCACTCCAGCCCTGTTACTGGCCACCACTTCTATTCCACAGAGGCAAAAAAAAGAACCAGAGTCCAGTGCAGCACCCACTTGGTGGCAGGAGGTGCAAGGGCCTGCACATGTCCACCCAGCCTCCAGGCTGAAAGAAAGACAAACCCTGGCAGAGAAGGCGGCTCCCTGGAAGTGACTGCATGGGAAGCAATTGAGGGCCCGCACTGGGTCAGAAAGGGAGCCTGAGCGGAAACTGTGAGGGTAGCCAAGCGTGCGCTGGTTTATTAACCAAACTTCATGTTCCAGACAACTTGTGACAGGTCAGAAAACTCCTCCAGGCCTGTGGCTGCTGAACAGTTCCTTGATGAAAGGTTTACAGGAACGTAGTGCCGGCAGGCTTAGGAGGAAGCCAGCCAGCTTTAAAGGAGTCCTACATGGGTCTTCTGAAAAAAACATACTACACTCCCCAAAAAACAGCCCCACAATCAAATGCACAAAGGATGAAGAGACCCATTTGGGCCATGATAGGGGAGAAAAGAGTTTTGCAGCAATTGTGGGTTTACAACGGATCTTCTGAGGGGCCAAGCCTAGGCACCCGAGGCCTCAGCCGGCCTACCAGTGAAGGCCTGAGGGTGGTGTCTTCTCATCTTTATTGCTTTCCAAGGAGAAAGGTGGGATCCGGACATCAAAGTGGGAGCCATCAGGTCTCTCAAAGCGGAACGTGCCCCTGGGGGTCAGAGAAGCTGGCTTAGACACCGTGGGGGCTGAGGATTGCAGTGGGCCCGTGGCCTCAGCTCCAGAGCCCTAGCAAGATGAGGTAGGCCTAGGCTCCCTTCTGCTAACTCCTGATAGGATGACTGGTCCAGAGACCCAACAACCCTTCTTAGGCCTACATGAAAAGAAGAATCACAGCTGTTCAGATTTTAGCCCTCAATGCATACTGCATGAGCTATCTAACTGCACTCTGAGGGTGAAGTCTGAAACACTTGGAAAACCTGCATGAGCAACTCGGTGTAGCATCAAACCCCTAGGCCGGTGGTGGTGAACCTGTGGCATTCGTCTTGCAGTGGGCTGTGTGTATCACTGAGAGCTCTAAAAGGTTCCCCATCACTGTCCTAGACCTAGGTCCTCAGTCCACATCATAGGGAACCTGGAACAGGCAGTCATAAAAAAACAGGCAAGTCCCACACAACATTGGGGGTAGCAGATGCAGTTCCAACTCAGACACGATTTGGCCCAGAGCTAACCACTGGCTCTGCATGCACCACAAGCTCTCAGTTTTCTGACCTCAAGCTCTGTCCATGGGGTTGAGTGGTGCCTACCCCCACACATGTCCACTTACCACATGTGGCCACTGGAGGCCTGCAGGGAGACGTGGCTGCTATACTGGAATGCAGGCTGCTCTTTGGACAACACTGGCTCCTGTAAGGATTCAAGCAAGATGGGTCAGGCCAAGCTCCACGGACACATTTCTTGTAGTTAGAGGCCAGTTCATCATCAGTGACTGCAGGCCAGCCAAGTGACAACCACGGCAGGCATTCCACAGTGACAATCCCCCAGCACCGCCTCCTACACCATGGTCATTGGCTTGGCCTTCTGTTGTGCCTCTGGAAAGGTGATCTCAGTCTGACTGACTGAGGACACTAAGCAGGGATGCTGAGCACAAGGCCTACCTCTTGCACTTTCAGTACCTACACATGACAGCTAAAAGCTAAGCACCTCAGCGGGTACTCTGTAAACTGCTGCTGGCTAATTCTCCTGGAGATCATAAGTGACTTACATATGATCTCTTTGCCCAAAGTTACGCAGTGAGCACACAGCTGGAATGAGAAGCCAGGCTATGTAACTGCAATCCTTACTCTGACTCACTGTTCATGCCAGTCAACATGGATAGGCTGGGGATTTAGCTCAGCGGCATAAGCACCTGTCTGGAAAACACAAGGCCATGAGTTCAATCCCCAGTACAAAAAAAAACCCAGAATGTTTAGGCCAGGGATTTAGCTGCCTGCCTGGCAAGCACAAGGTCAAAAGTTTGATCCCTGATACCAAAAAAAAAAAGGCTACTTCATAAACTGGGTGTGGTGGTTCACACCTGTAAATCCCAGCACTCAGGAGACTGAGGCAGGAGGACTGTCACAAGTTCAAGACCAGCCTGAGCTACAAAGTGAGCTCAAGGCCAGTGAGCTACATAGTGAGACCCTGTCTTAAAAAGACCAAAAAAAAAAACCATGGATAAATGCTCACAGATATGGGCCCTAACACTAATACTTCTTGCGACCTTATTTCTCAGACAACAGGGGAAGGTAGGCAGGGAGACAAAATTGCATCTCTTTAAGCACCAGCAAAAGAAACACAGCATGGTGGTGCATTCCTATTAATTCAAGCACTCAGGAGGCTGAGGCAGGAGGATCACTGCAAGTTCAAGGCCAGCCTAAACTGCATAGTGAAACCCTGTCTCAAAAAGACAATAAATAAATCAATAATCAGCAAAGGAGTGTATACACTGCTCAACCAAAAGTATACGAGCTTGGACTTCAGACTCACTTGGACTGAAATCTCAGCCCTGTCACTACAGCAAAGAGACTGTAGGTTCATCAAGTAACTTCTCAGTCACTCTCTTCTGTGAAATATGCTGCAGGCAACCTGTGTCTCAGGGATGCTGTAGATTTCTAGCCCAAGACAACCCAGTGTGTTCAATAGTGAGTCTCTGTCTGTAACTACAGGAGAGGAAGAAAACCACATGGAGCCCCTCAGGTCTCTGGGTAGGGCCAGGCCAGTGATACTCACCCTGCCCACCACCCCTCGGCCTCGCACGGTCTCCAAGGTGCCTGAGAGACTAAATATCCTCCAGTGCCGCTCCCGGAGCTGTACCACATCACTGTCCAGGTTCTCCAGGCGGATACAGTAGCGCCACTGTGAGAGAAGGGGAGAGTCCACATTCACAGCAAACAGACCCTGTGGTGCCCACCTACAGTCTGTAGAGCAGAGGCAATAAAGGCTGGTGCTGTGGTACACCGGCCCCCACCTCCCCCGCCTGACCCGAGGCACCCCTGAGCACTGCCGTGTCCTCAGGAAAACACTCACCCAGTAGACGTGGGAATTCTGGGCTTCCTGGGGGAAGAAAAACACAGAGTTTAAGCCCAGCAAGGCAAGACCAAGTCTGTCCACTGACATGTCTCAGAGAAGCCCAAGCATTCCAGGAAGGCTGCAAAGGCAGGACTGTGCTGCGGACATCTGTGGGGGTGGGGGTGGGGGGTGATGGACTATTACCGACAACCCCCAGGGTGCACCCTCCACAAGCACTCCTGGTCTCAGTCCTCCCTGTCCTGTCCAGACTGCCAACTGAGCTGGAAGCCAAACGCAACCTGCCATAAGTCCCTCCTCTCTCACCATGTGCTACCTTCTCTCCCTGCCAGTGCTGGCCCCACGGTGGCTGCTAGGGCCCCGTCTTCCTCCACCCTCCCAGTATCTCACTGCAGTACTGTGTGGAGCCTGACCTCTCCCTTAACCATGAGTGCATGGAAAGCAGGCCTAGTGTCCATTTGTGTTTGTCCCCTCAGGCCTGGCTTAAGAGTGAGGCGGGGCAATGTGGCTGCCATATAAAAAGTGTGACGATGACCCCACGCTATTTTAGGCAAGTATGCGGACGTTCTTCCCAAGCAAGGCAAGGCTCCTTCTGAGCCCAAGGAAATGAAGAAGAGCAGGGGTAGAGGACTCCTTCCTGGGACCTGTGGGTCCTGGTGTGAACCACTGCTAAACTACTCAACCCTACCCAACACAGGAGCCCTTGGACACACTCAGATTTACACCTCTCCAGGACTCACCCTGGGGATATGACCCAGAATTTCAGGCCCAGCCCTGCAGGAAGAGGCACAGGCAGGACACATACCCGCATGCCCATGTAGAAAGGGATGACAGTGACTCGGATGTTCTCAGTTGTCTCCCTGTGGACATCAGACAGCTCTAGCCAGGGGTGATTCTTCTCTTGCCAGGCCCGTAGTGTTTCCCGAGCCACAAAAGGGGGTGCTGGAACAAGTGCCAACAGGTCAGCCCAAGCCAGAGCTCAGGGTGCTGTACTCCAACTGCCCCTCCTAGAAACCCTTTCCCAGTGGTGGCCCTGGTAAACAGGACACACACAAAGCAAAGCCAAGGTTGCGACCCCGCCTGATGGTGCACGCCTATAATCCCAGCACTCAGGAGGCTGAGGCAGGAGGATTGCCATGAGTGTAAGGCCAGCCTGAACTACATAGCAAGACACTTCCTCAAACAAACAAAGCAAGGCTGGAAGAAGGCACAGAGCAGTACAAGGGTAACCTCTGAGGATCAGTACAATCCCATAGGAAGGAACATGGACTGCAAGTCCATTTTAATGGCCCTGGTTTTTCCCTCCAGCTGCTGCTACCTAGCAACTTCTGAGTCACTGCTCATCATTCCCAAGCCTGAGTTTCTATCTCTGTCAGTTAACAAGAAGCTGCAAAGGTTCTGGAAAGACAGCTAGACAACTGTGAAACTACTTCTGCAGGCCTCTCCTGGAAGGAAGGGCCTGCCATTCCTGCCTCCCTTGTGACACAGTTACCTTTTGTCTGGTCATACAGAAGAAATCTTTCAAAGAGCTCATGCTGGATGGGAACCTGGTCGGTGGAGGTGTAGGGGAGGATGTCTTCATGGCTCACATAGTCCAGGCCTGCAGACAGTGAAGAGTAGGGCTCACACACAGGAGAAAAGGAAGAACAGGAAGAAAAGAAACATTAACCTCTTCCTCCAAGTGACAGGACATCAGAATCCTCTCCCAGGTACACACCAGTCCCCTGCCTCAAAGGCATCATTCAGATGCTAACTCCTCACCTGGAATGGCATAGAGGGCCCGGCTGTCATCATGGTTAGCCAAGAAGGTCACAGCTTCTGTCTGAGATCTCTGAGACTAAGGTATAAAGAACATCAGTGGCTTTCCTGGCTACTGTCCAGTCCTGAAACCCTGTGGCCCAGGACTAAGACCCCACTGGTTTTCCATGGAGGAAATCCCCAGCCCAGCCATCTTGCTTACTTACTATATGCGGACAGTCTCGGGCATCAATCAGCACCTGATAGTAAGTGTGCGTTTTGCCTTTCACCTCCTTGGAGCCGTGGCCAGCAGGATTCTCTGTTCTGTGGGTTAAGAGAAACCTAAGACCACCCTGAAAGGAGTGGAAGCTGTGCCTTACTCCCTCCCCTAAACCGGCTGATTCGTGACACTTCATACCACGGGCACCTGATCAGCAACACCCAGCCAGACAGCTGGCTCAGGGAAACAGCAGAGGCCGGGGGCTGTGAGCCATCTTCTGCCTTACCCTCTAGGTGCCTCTCGGAAGGGGCCCATGTTGAGACAATCCAACTGCCATCCAGTCCCCCAGCACACAAAGTACAGTTCCACTCTCACATCCCAACCATTTAATGGAGATACTCCTTTTCTTTTTCTAATATACTCCAGTGATGATGATTAAGTGAAAGATTTCAACTAAATCATCAAGAAACCAAGATGACTAAGCCCTCAATGTCCACTGGGGTACTTAGGAGACCTAAAGGGACCCACTGGCTTAAAATTGTCCCTCGCACTTAGCCCTTTGTCTGCATGGACATCAGTGCCAAAGAAGTGCTCTGAGCCTGGTTCTAAGACCCAGGAGGATGCTACTGTCCCCCGGGAGACCCTAATTTCGTGTATCTGTGATAGGCTGTGCCGCCTCCTGAGGCCACTGTGGGCCTAATAGTAAGGACTTACTTTTCTGAAGCTGCAGAAGCCACATCCCGGTCATACAGTCTGGCTTGCCAGGGAAACAGGACCACACCTCGGTAGCCAAAAATACTATGAAGAAAAAGCTAGGTGGAAAGAGAGGCCTCCGTAAGTCCACAGTCTGGTCTATCCAGCCAAGTGAGACCTGACCGTGAAGCAGTGCACGCTGAGACTTCAGCGCAAGGTCCTGCCACCTTTGCTCTTGATCTCCAAACAAACTTTGGAACACTACATGCCCTGTTCACCTGGCTGACTATATTCATCCCACTCCTCCACATCAGAGAGCCACTGACATGGTATTAATCCCTTTTTAGAATATCAACTCCATGAAGCCCAAACCAAGTCTACCTGCTCTTTGCCTTAATACATACTGTCTGGTCCATCATACGAATTCAACAAAACTGAATAAACAAAGAGTCTTCCCTAAATACAAAGGGCCTGAATCTATCCCAGTGGACCTGGAACAAAGCTAACAGAAAAAGGCTTATCTCTAGAGCCTACCACACTGTAATCAGTTTGCTAAGGAAACATCAAAGGTTTGCTTTTCAGAACATTCTCTCCTCTGCCTTCACACCATCTAGGACATGAGAGGGAGTCTTCAGCAACTTCATTTTCTCTTCTCTACACTAACAAGTAAACAGTTTCTCTCTACACTAACTTGGAAAGAGAACCCACTGATACATTAAATGCATTAAAATCCAGGGAAACAGAAACCTTGATTTTTACCCAGTACTAAATATTAAGATGGAATGGTGGCAAGAATGTGGCTCAGTGGTACAGCACTTGCCTAGTACTGTATGTTCATGGGTTCAATTCTCAGCATCACCCAAAAAAGAAAAAGGAATACTCAGAAAAATATTCAGAAAATCCCACTCAAGAGTTGTCACCAAATGTGACTCTGTTCAAAAGCTGACTTGAAAATGAAGGCTAACTGGGCCCAACACTTACCTGCCCGGTCTCGTATTTCCCATTCTGTTTTGGTACCTCAAACACACCAACTGTCTCCAACACTTTGCCCTCTGCTCGGTTTCTGATTAGGAGGGAAAAAATAAGCAAAAGAAAAGCTGAATGGGTAATGATTACCCACCCCATCCCCAACCGTCTCATTATATAGATCAGGCTGGCCTTGAACTCACCATGGAGCTCAGGTTGGACTTAAACTCCCAGTGACCCTCCTGCCTCAGTATCCCAAGTGGTGAGATTACGGGTAGGGCACCACCACACCCATTCCTAAGGGGATAATGATTCTTATCCATCAGAAAAACAATCTCGGAGGATATTCATGAGCCGGGACAATGACAGCAGAGAGGTTTGGGGCAGTGTGGCCAGCTGAAGCAGGTGAGGGACCTGCTAAGCCACAATAGCACAAAACAGCTGCCTTTTCTCCTTTGAGGGCACTCACAGGCTGCTGCTTGGTGGAAACCTTCCAAATCTCCCAGTAACAGATCTGACTGCTCCCAACTCACAGTTTCTGTTCTCTTTCCTCGGTACTCCTCTTATGCCCTCATACCCTTTTCACCATTTCTTCTTTAACCCACTATCCTGGCCTCTGACAGCAATTAAAACATCTTTCTCACTCTGTATTTCAGTTATTTATGTCCCTGTCTTATCAACAACAGATATTAGAAGTTCCCTGGGAGCGATGCCTGTGCTGTCCTCAGAGCCTGGTGTAAAAGATATGAGCAAAAAATTCCTGATCTGTACCGTAATTCCAAGTCTACCTCCCTCCAAACTATTATTCTTAACCTGCCCTCAAGAACCTAAACATCTTAACAGATTCTCTACTGTATTCCATGCATTCCACTGAGTCCTGCAGCCTCTCCATATAGTTCTGTTCAGGTTTACATTAGTTTTCTTAAGGGCCTTAAATTGTAGATGACTATTACCTCTCCCAAATATCAGTAACTGTATTATCTCAGCCTCTGTAACTTCAGCTCTGTCAGTTACCTCTCCAAACAGCGCTGTTCTTTCTAGGAGCCTTTCAAAGCACTGTTATTCTGTTTTGGAAGTGCAAACTTGATCCACTGGCCCCAGCCTGATCCATCTGTCCCATGCCCAGTGGCACTGTTCACACCAACATCGTGACTCAAATCCCTTTCTCCAGGTCACATAGAGAAATCTGGGACCCAAAAGGGCCCACACTCAAGTCGACTTGTTTCCTACCTCTAACATCTTTATAAGGGAGGCCGTGACCCAACAAGCGCTGGAGGCTGAAGTCAAAAGCTCTCGGGGGCAGGGGCTGGGGATTTAGCTCAGCGGCATAAGCGCCTGCCTTGCAAGCTGGCAGTCGTGAGTTCGATCCCCGGTACCAATAAAAAGGAAAAAGACAAAAAAACAAAAAAAAAAAAAAGCTCTCGGGCTGCACTAAAAAGGCTGCCCACTAACAGCGGAGCTGGGGACCCGAGCTGGGAGCCTTGCTAGCCAAGGCTGCCCTGCACGGCCAAGCTCTGGGCCGCGCTCCCTGCCCTGCTGCTGGCACATGTCCCCGGCACAGCACGTCTGCTCCCTGCTCGGGACTCTCTCCCAGGTCCAACTACTGTCACCCTCGGACGACCCGGCCTCCTACCCTCCTTACTGGCCACGAACGCGATCCCCGACTCCTGGCCCGGTCCCCGCGCCCCCTCGCTCCGTGTCTCACCGCGACGAGAGGTGCCTCTGCGCAGTCGTAGTCGTCGCAGATGGGAAGGCCGGTGCTCCCCCTGCGGCACAGAGCGGCCTTGATCCTCGGGCAGCAGTCAGCGGCCGGGACCACCAGCGGCTGCCCACGGCCAGGGCCCGCCGGGCCACACAAGCGGCCATGTCCGGACCGAGCGCCCGCCCGGCTGCTGACACAGGGCCCGACCCGCGGCCGGGCGGCGCCCCGCCCCCGCCCCACACTGCCCAGCGTCGCGTCCCCGCCCCCTTGGCCCCGTGCCCTGCCTCGCACCGCCCCCAACCCTGAGCTACTTCCGGCGCACACCCGGAAGTCCGAGTTTGGGGAATCACGTGATCCTAGAGCGGGCTAGATATGGCGTCTTCGTTAGTAGTAGGTGAACGGCTGGTACGCGCTCTGAGGCCTGGCGGGGAGCTGGAATCAGAGAAGCTGCCCCGGAAGCTGCGGGCCGAGCTCGAGGCCGCGCTGGGAAAGAAGCACACGAATGCTGATGGCCCCGATGGCCCTCGACGCTTGGTTTCCTTCCGTCTGATCCGAGAGCTGCACCAGCATCTCAGAGAAAGAGGTGAGACCATCTCATTTGCGAGATCGCCTCTTTGTTTCCAGATCTGCTCTCTTCTGAGAAATTTTCATCCCGCTTCCATGCCTGCGGTGTACTCATGCGGCCAACCCAAAAATCTCTTCACAAATCCCAGGACCACCCACTCCTTTCTCGACTCGTTTGTCGGGATGACAAAATTTACTTGCGTTGTGCAGACTTTCCCGAGTCTTGTTTTGCCCACTTGATCCTCAAGAAAGCTGAGGTTCCAACCTAATCACCTCTACCAAGTTCAGTTTCTTCCTTTTTTCACCACAGTAGGAAGCAGCTTAGCTACTGAGTTAGCCCTGTTTGTGAATTTGGGTTTCTTTCCATCTCAATAATGTCTAAGACAGCGTGACAAAATCTAACTTGAAAGATCTGAAGTAGAAGTAGTGTATCAGTACTAATCTTAGATCTTTCCGGTAATTACCCTTGAAGAAGTCATTTCTTTTCCCTGAGCTTCAGTTTTCTTATCTTAAAAGAAAGAAAGAAAAACCTGCAGTAAAATGTTTTGCCAGGATTTGCATAGCCCAGCCAAAAGTGCAAAGTAGACCCAACTACTAGAACTAAAAAGAACCTTAAAAAGAGATGATCTTGGGGGCTGGGGATTTAGCTCAGCGGCATAAGTGCCTGCCTTGCAAGCAGGCAGTCGTGAGTTCGATCCCTGGCACCGATAAAAACGAAAAAGACCAAAAAAAAAAGAAAAGAAAGAGATGATCTCATCTAGTATTTACCATCACTATGACCTAAGCCAAAAGCAAAGTATTAGGTGTTGGTGGTGGTCACTTTGGTAGGGTAAAGTGACAGTTAAAGTCACTGCAGCATTAGAAAACAGGTAGAATTTTCCCCAGTTTGAAAATCATCCTTGGGATAGGTTTACATAGAGATGGTCTGGTTTTATTTTGATAAACCCTTTATTGATCTTAATCTTTCAACCTCAGTTCAGTGGGTTACTATGTGGAAACATTTTTTTCCCCCAGGTTCCACACTGTATCTTCATGAGCTTTTAGAAGGCAGTGAACTCTATCTTCCAGAGGTTGTGAAGCCTCCTCGGGTAAGTAAAGGATATATTTGTGAGAGTGGTTATTGATTGAGTTGTACATCAAATTTATTAATCAGTCTTTGGGCTTGAAAATTTGTTTTAAATCTTCAGGCTCTAGGATGAGAGGACTTTCTGTATCTGACAGCTTTGGGCAACTTATATCCAAAAGTCAGTTTCCAAAGCAGTGGAGGCCAGGGATAGGGATATAGCTTAGTGGTATAAGTGCCCGCCTGGCAAAAGCGAGGTGATGAATTCAATCCTGGGTACCAAGAAGAAGGAAAAAAAAGAATAATTTAACAATCCAAAGCAGTGGAGGTATGACTGGCAAGCACATGGGTCTCTATGCCCCTTGGAATCAATGACTATGACATACTTTCTAGTAAGAAGTGTGTAGAAGAATGTTCTTTTCATGTGATTCTTTTGTGCTAGAACCCAGAGTTAGTTGCCCGACTGGAGAAGATTAAGATACATCTGGCCAATGAAGAATATAAACGGATCACTCGCAATGTCACCTGTCAGGTAAAAGTCTGCTTTTAAGAACATGGACTGATTACCCCTAAAAACAGGGCCCTGTCCTAGAAAAAAGTATAGAGGAAAAAACAACATAAGAACTTGGTTTGTATACTATTCTGGGACCATTCTGTATACTACTCTAGGAGCTCTGTGCCACTTACAAACTAAATGTAATTCCCAACTCATTCTCTGAGACTATTGACTTATAGGACGATTAAGTCTTAAAACATTGAAGTTGTAGGGCTGAGCCTTGGTGTATTTTTTTATAACATAACTCCTTACTTTTTTGCTCATGTGCCTCTGCCCTGAACCAGAACAACAACATATGGTTATTAGGAACCTATGTCTTCTCTGGAATGCTTGTTTTATGGTGCAGAAAAGAGGCAGACTGATTCTAGACAAAGGAATCCGTGGAGAATGCAGAGTTTATTAAGGAATAGAGAGAACTGAGCCCAGACCAATAAATGGGACCTCTCTGGGTTACCCTTGAGCTGCGTCTACTCTGACATTACCTGCTTTTGCATCTGCTTTTACCCAGAATTCTCGGCATGGTGGGACTCTCAATGACTTGGGAAAGCAAGGTAAGATACTAGGAAACCAGGCTGCTAACGCCTCTCCCCGAGATGGGTTGTGACATTCCTTCCCATCCCAGCATCCTGGGCTAGAGGCCAAGCTATTCAGACACATTCTTTTAAGGCAACTCGATTGATTGAAGTAAGAGAGCTTGCTGGAGAATGCTGACCTAAAGATTTTTCTTCTGGGCTTCTCCCCAAAGTTAGATCAGTGAAGGCTCTGGTCATCACCATCTTCAACTTCATTGTGACGGTGGCAGCTGCGTTTGTCTGTACTTACCTTGGAAGCCAGTACATCTTCACAGAAATGGCCTCAGTGAGTAGACAGACATTGGGCAGGCAAAGTGCTGCAGGTGGGGGTGTCAGTGAAAAAGGGAGAATGTATTGAAAGCACCTTGCATAGGTAGGAAATTGAGCGCATATTTATGCAGTGAACAAGGAGAACATTTGAGCCCTTCAGCATTTTTGGAGTGGGTAGTAACCCCAAGAGAATCCAGGATCCCTTCCCCCCAATTTAGGGGCTGGTTTGGGAGTTCTGTATCACCCAGGCTTGCTTCTCTTCTTGCCCAGCGTGTGCTGGCTGCAGTGATTGTGGCCTCAGTGGTGGGTCTCGCCGAACTGTATGTCATGGTACGGGCAGTGGAAGGCGAACTGGGAGAGCTGTGACGGATGCTTCATCAGAGTCTGCAGAAGGTTTTGGGATCATCAGGCTTCCAGCTGCCAATCAGTGATCCTGTGAGACTTCTTTTACTCAGCTTTAGTTAGAGGACCAAACCAGCCACCTGCTGTTTCTATGAGGAGTCCTGTCTTCTGTAAATTTCCAGAAAAAGTAATGGAGGAGATACAGATGATACTTATTTTAAACTAAAAGAACTGGTCTCTCGGTATCTTTTCCTGAACCCATTGCCCAGTCCATTCTGAGCACTGCCAAAACTGGGCTTTTTCCATCAGGAATAAATGGAATCCAGGCCTCCCCAAAAGTAAGACCATGCTGCCTCGAACCTGGCCTAATGCTCATGCCTTGGAGCACGGTGGTAATTGAGAGCAGAAGCCACCAAGAAAGAAAAAGCCTTCATCTCTGCAGTGTGTCCTGGAAGGAGAACTGATTAGAGCACAGATACCCAGTAAGAGAAAACCAGCTTTGTACAGGATGGTCTTTTAGACAGGGAAATGGTATTAACCCCCTTTTCCAGAAGGCAGAAAAGACCCAGAGGGATCAAATAACCAGCTGTGAGCCTTCTGTTAAGTTTACCCAAAGCCTCCTACCTTGTCTGGATGTCTCTGTGTAATATTAAACTTCTGAGAACCTAAGTGGTGTGATGACAGAATTTGCCTATTTAAGACACTTTAAAAGGTGTCAGCCTCAGTCACTTATCCAATAAATATTTATTGTGTCCAGTTGTATTCTTATTTGAAGTTGGTGATAGTACAAAGCACAGAGATTTCCATACTTCTAAGACTTGTGCAGCATCTGCTGACTGTAGAGTTGTCTTCCTCTTCATTGTATTCATGCACTTGACATAGTCCTGTAGTCTTTGTTTTTTCCAAAGCTGTTCTGTTTTTATAAATTACACACTCGCCAGGGATTTAGCTCAGTAGCAGGTCGGGAGTTGGTCCCTGGTACCAAAAAAATAAATTATACACTCACCAGCTCAATAAACATTTTCTTAACAAAATTTGCCAGTTTCCATTGGTTGAGAGAAGCGTCAGCTGGGAGAAAATGTGAGTGGCATTTTACAGTGTCCTGATAGCCTGAATGGCAGAGGACTGGGTGGAACACCACAGGGCAGCCTTGTGGGGATTTGCGGCTGTTCCCATGTCTGAACTCTGGGCTCCACTGCCATGTGGCCCCAAGCTTCCACACACCCTAGCCTGAACACTTGATATTAGGTAAGAAGGAGTTCCAAATGTGAAAGACATTTTAAGTTTATCAGAATCTCAAGCAGATTCCAGCCCTGGGGAGGAGCAATCTCATAATGAAATTGAAATTTATCCCCTCTCACCATTGATTAGGATGGAGTCTCCCACTGGACTCGGCTCCTTCCTCACAAGCCCACAGGCCTCTATGGCATTGAGTCCTTACGGTGGATGTGGCACTACTAGCGTCTGGTGATAAAGGGGCAAAAGACCTGGCTCCTGTCTAGTAGTGACCAAATAGCCACTGTGTGAGGAAGGTTCCAACTGCAGGGGCAGAGTTGTGTTTAGGAATCAGGTGTCCTGTTTGCACAGAGAAGGAAATTCTGCCTTAGCCACTTCCTCTGCATTTACCATGCTTTCTCCTGTACACCCTGGGTCCAGAAAGTGCTTGGCAGGAGATCAGAGGAATGAGAAGTCTGAGGCCTCATCAGCTTCCTGGCTGGAGCAGTGGAGAGAACTAGCATTTATTGAATTTTACAATATGCCAGTATACATAAAAAATTTCTACTTTGGGGGTGGGGTTTGTTTTGAGACAGGGCCTCATATAGTACAGGCTGACTTTGAACTTACTGTGTAGCTCAGGCTGGCCTCAAACTCATAGCCATCATGCTGCCTCAGCCTCCCAAGTGCTAGGATTAAAGATGTGCACGACTCATGACCAATTTTAAAATATTTCTAAAATAGGGAGAAAGTATTACCATCCTGCCTTTCAAGCTCAGTAAGTTTCAGAGTTTCTACTTGTGTCACAGAGATAGTGTTTGAATCCAAGCACAGACTGATCACAAACTGCTTTTCTCCCCAAAGCAGAGCTACCCCAGAGGTGGAGGCATCTGGAAACACTGGGACTAGGACAGGGTATCAGCAGAGGCTTCTACCCACAGGGTCTAACAGAGCCCTAAAACCTTCAATTAACCATCCTCCCATTTAATCCCAGCAGAAGCCTCTGTAAAACCTCCCACCCAGTCTGTATGGAACCTGGCCCTATTTAGGGATTAGGTGATGGAGATAAATTTCCAAGGCAAATGGCCCTTGTCCCCATTCATTTGCAGTACACAACAATCCAGATTAAGGTACAGAGTTGGATTTTATTTAGAGATTAGTTGGTATTACAGATGAGGATACCAAAATCCATTGTTACTCTACCCCCTCCACCCCAAATCTGCCAGGTCCCCGCAGGCCTACATCAGAGAACAGCCAATGCGATCTTTGTGAAAATTAAATCACCCTAAGCCCCAGCTCCTGTTTCTACTTTATTGCTTTCGTATCACTGTCTTTCAGATCTGTACTGATTAATTTGTCCAGGTGGCAGGTCAGGAAAGGGCCCCAAACTGTAAAACAGATCCCCAGCAATTCAGATTTGGAGCAGCACTCCCTTCGGCCACTCACTCAGCAGCTAGTTAGGTAATGGCCTAAATGGCTCTCATCAAACTGCCTGCCTAAATGGCCCTCATCAAACTGGCCCACCTAAATGGCCCTCATCAAACTTTTTGAATAGGAAGTTCCCTTGGGATGAGAATTGGGAATCAGATGTAGCAGTTGAGGGGGTAACATAACCTACCAAGATGGTGGGCACCTACCCCCAGGGAAGATCAGGGTGCGGGGCAGCTGCAGAGGCCCCAGTCACCACAGGTGACCTGCATTTGGGCTGGCCTGGAGGCCAGTGGAAGTGGGCTAAATGCGCATTAGGAGAACTTCGCATAAACGGGGTGGGGTGAGTTACAGGAGGAGGGAATCTTACAAATTCTGCCTCGGGGTTAAGAGTGATCCATATTGGTGACAATGGCTGAGGTATAAAGAAGGTCAGACAGGCTGCCCAGGGAGGTCTGAGGAATGGCTCGCTCCAAGGAAGGGTGGACTCCTTGAACCCCAGCTGGTCCCCGTTGGGCTGCAACTTTAGCCCCTGGCCAGCCCTGCCCTAGACCCCAGATGGGAGCTTTACAGGAAGCCTGCAGACACTGCGAGGCACAGTGAACTGTGCCAGTGACAGGTAGAGGCTGGCCCACCATTTGGGGCGCACCAGGCTGCTGGGGGGCATCTGGAAGAAAACAGCAGTTCTGGGGACACTCAGGCCTGGAATGAAGTCCTCCTGGTTTCCTGTGCTTGATTCTCTTGGCTCTGCGGTTCTGGAACCACACCTGGTAGGGAAGGCAAAAGCGTCTATTCTGGCTCCCACCACCCCTCCCCTGCGCCAAGGAAAACAGCCTGCAGGTGGGATGCTGAGAAGGCCAGGCTCAGGTCAAGCTCAGAGTTGGCTGAGAGTACCCTGTCCTGAGGGAGTCGCAGCTCACCTGTATCTTGGCCTCGGGCAGGCAGGTGACTCGGGCCAGGTGCTCTCGAGTGCCGATGTCAGGATAGGGCCATGCTGCAAACACCCGCTCCAACTCCAGCAGCTGCCCAACACTGAAGGTGATCCTTTTTCTCCGGTGTGGACCCAACTCACTGGCATGGTCTGTGGGGGCTGGGAGTGAAGCCAGGACTTCATTGTAAGCACCTCCACCTAGCCTCAGAGCTTTCTACAGATCCTACAAGCTTACACCCAACCTCTCCAGCCTTCCCCACCAAACTTTGCCCCCTCCTTGCCCTGCCCACCCTCTCCCCACTAGGTCACCTGCTGCAGATGCCTCCACGGGGCTGGCCATGGGGGTGGTTAGAGGGCAAGGAGCCAGAGGGCCATGCCCAGGTTGTGCCCACACCACACCCATCTGCTGAGGGCTTTATGCTGCTGAGTGGCTAGTCCCGCCCCCAGGAGAGGATTAAGAGTCCAGCTGAAGCAAATCAGAGAAGTTCAGGGGAAAAGGGGAGGCCAAGGACAGGATCAAGGCTGACAGCGCGGTCGGTAAGGTAAATTTGAATGTCCCCGCCCCTTTTGCGCTCCACCCAGGGAGCTGGTGCCCAAGTCTCCAGCTCAAACCTCAGCCTCTGGCAGCCGGTTTGTGCTCTCCTAAACATCCTGAAAACCCCTTCCAGGAAGCCACAGAAATATTTCCAGTGCTCCAGATCTTTGAATGCCCTCTCTGGAGCCTTTAATGCCCTGGTCCTGGTGCTTTCAGAGGAGAGTGTGTGAAGTTCTATACCACAACCCTAAGACTGGCCAGTGAAGCTAGCTAGACAGGATAAGAATAATAATAGAGGCGGCAGATGGGCAGGAGCCACCAGCTCTCAGCACAGCTAGGCAACAGATGTCACTACCAGATTGCCTTTGGGGCTGCTCTGGATCTTTGCTTGCATCTAACCAACTCTGGTCACTCAAGAGTCCAGATGGGCTTCCTGAGGTCCAGAAACCTAAAACTAGAGGACATCCCACAGGCACCATTGGGGGATTAAGAAAGATAGTTTACACAGTTCTCATCTTTGGGAAGCCTTTTGGGCTGCTTTGCTCAGGGGCTACATGTGAATTTTCTTTCAGTCCTGTCGTGCTGTATCTCTCCAGACTTCAGCCTGAAACCAAGGACAGAGAGCTCAGAAAAGGGCCCACGAAGGGGTAGTTTAGAAGGAGAGTGGCAGCTGGTCCCTCAAGTGCTTAGGAGCTAACTGGATTCCAGACTCAGGCTAGGAAGAAAAACTGAACAAGAACCCTATGATTTCTTACCCCATCTCTCCATCAAGACCCTAGTCAATTTCAGGGGCAAAGCAAATCTCACTAGGAAAGAGGTAGCATATGCCATCATCAGTGTTTTGAGTGGCTACTTAGCCGCTAGTCGGGTATTGGAGGCTGCTAGGCTCAGGACAAAGGGTCGCTCTCACGAGGTCCTCCCAAAGCCCAGCTTTTCCAGTTCATAGTCATAACCCCATTCAGACAGCCAGACCCTACCTCTATCTAGGGGTTCCAGCCCTCCTGAAACAAAAGTAAGATTTGCCCTCCTCCCATATCGGAGGATCTACCCATGAAAAGCAACTCATCAGAGATGTCTAACCAGCTGTTCCACTGCCTGAGCCCAGCAGGGGATGGACACAGCAAGATCCTTCCGTCTTTCTCCCCTCAAACTGCCCTTACAGCCTACTTCCCCTCCTTTACCCAGGCAGGGGTCTGACTACCCCAGTCAACACAGTAAGAAGTCTCAAACTCAGGGCCAAAGGATTTTTATTAGGCTGGGAGGAGCAAGACGAAGGGGGGAGCTATGGAGTCCCAACTGTGTGGGCTCTAACTTCTACTTGTGGCCTGGGGGTGGGCACCCCAGCCAGTACTGGGCAATGGGGCGTGGGTAGGGAGGGTTCACAGTGTCCACTCGGCGTGTGCGAAGGTTAACTCGGTAGTACTTGTCTGAAAGAGAAGGAGGGGTGTGTAAGATCCAACCTGAACCTGCCTGCCCTTGGCCTGAGAAAGGAGACCCCCCCCCCCGAAGGGAAAATGACCGTCTACAACGCAGCTGCCATGGAGTTAGGCTCCTGGCCTAGCCTCCTGGGCCACTGCTTGCGGAATGTGGTCAGACCATGAGGACCAAGGCTAGCGGGGAAGGCCAGACCAGCTGCGGGGGAGGCAGAGGCTCCCACCTCCCGAGAAGAAATAGACGCTCTGAATGGGCTCGCAGGCCGCAGGCACAAGCCAGCTCATGTCGGAGTCGTCATAGTTGTAGGTTACTGGCCCTGTCTCTTCACTGGAGAAGAAGGACAGGAACAGAGAACGGGACTGCCTTGGGGAGCTCTGGCGGCTGCTGCGGCTGCGGCTGCGGCCGCGGCTACCACGTGAGCGGTAGCGTTTGCGGCTGCGATGTTTAAACTTTTGCTTCTTGGCCGGGGGAGGCTGGAGCACAGAGCCTGAGACGTAGATGTGGCCAGGCATGACAGCATCCACCTTCCCGGGCACACCGTGCCAGTCCCGGCTGATGAACCGGGGCTCTTGGACAACACCTGTGGCAGAGAAGAGGTTGGGGGGGGGGGGGACTTTAAGAGCCCAGGCCCTGCCCTCTCCAACGGAGCCTTTGGAGCTCATGGGCGACGCCTTGCCACAACAAAATGGTACAGAGCCCAGTTCCACATTCAATGTTCTTTCCTGTGTCCTCCCTTCACCATGTCCAAGACATCTCCCCAGACCCCAGAGCACAGTAGCCTCTCGGCCACAGTCCCTCCCCCTGCTGGCTGTGCTAGGCAAAGTCCAAACTGAGGGGTCCAAGTGGATCCAAGCCTCCCCACAAAGGTTAACAAAAGCAAAGTCCAGTCTGAGCAAACAGTTCTTGATCGATAGCCCAACCATCACAACCCCCTCCAGGCAGCCCAGACCCATCTCTGCCCGGGGGGTTCCAGCCCTCCTGAGGCAGAAGCAAGGCTTGCCTGCTTCCCTTACCAGAGGGTCTGCCCCAGAAAAGCAACTCAAAGATGTCCTCCCAGCTGTTCCGCTGCAGCAGGGCAAAGTGTTCAAACACAGCCGACAGGGAACTGCCTTCGCACTCCTCCTGGCTGGGCTGGTGCTGGAACTCATACTCCCAGTACTGTTTCCCTGGGGAAATCCGGGGAACGGGTGGGCCTAAGCAAGGCTGGAGGGCCCAGGAGCTGCTGAAGCTAGAAGCCCCCAGTGCAGGGCAGGGCATGTATGCTGGGACCTGTCCCCAAGGAATCATGGGAGGAAACCAAGTCCCTCCACTACTGTATCTACACATTCTCTTCCCACCCCCTGGGTACCTTTGAAGAAGTAGACCCGCTCCCGGCCACTGTAGCTGTGGGCAGGGAGCGCCAAGGTTGCATCCACATTGTCCGGGATGCCGATGAAGCCATCAGAGATGTTTCGTGGGAAATCTGGGTCCAGGACACCATCATCAAACCTCCAGTACTGGCTACCCTAAGAGGCAGGGAAGATGAAACGGAGTGAGGAGGTGAAATGTAGACATGACCAGCCATGGTTGGGTACACAGGCAGGGGACCGGACCTTAGGCAGTTGTCTCCAGCTCCAGGCTTACTAGCAAGAACCTGGAGTGTCATCCTACTTTGTCCTCAGAGCACTGGGCAGGTTCCACAGTGCTCTGGCTCTGACCTTCCTGCCCACCACAGCCTTGGTGTACCAGCTCCCAAGCCCTCCACAGTTGCCCGCTGCCCTGCCCCTCAGCCCCCAGGTTTGGCACCTTGAAGAGGTAGGTCTTCCCTTGACAGTTGATGCGGGTGAAGGCAGCATCAATGGGGCCCTCAATGCCCCAGACATCCCGGATGAGCTTGGGGTACCCAGGCCTCACTGCTGTTTCATCTAGCTCATAGAAGTACTGTCCTAGAGCGGGGGAAGCTGTGTGAGGGAGAGGTGCTCCTGTGGTAGACCCCCACCCCTCCAGGACCTGCTCTTGGAGTCACCTCGGAAAGCAAAGATGGAACCATTCTTGAGGTTAGTGAAGGCATCAAAGGGCTTTCCGCTGCATAGCTCCTCCTCTGCTGGGGACGCCAGGATTACTTGACCAGTGGTCTCAGCCCCTGAAGTCACCACATCAGATGTAGGGTTGCTTGCTTCAAATACAGGAGCCTCTTTTGTAGGCTTCAGGATAGGTCCTGGCTCAGAAGTTGCCTCAGGTGAGGTGCGCAAGTCAGAACTCCTGGAGGGACTCTCCGTCTGTGTGAGGTCTTTCGTGTTGTACTTGGTCTCGTGATAATCATAGAACCTGTAGTCGTCTTCCGGCTGAGTGAATACATCTCCTCGAGTCACTGCGGGCAGAGTGGGCAGTAGTGAGTCTCCCACAGCAGAGGGGCTCCCAGGCCCTCACCCCTGGGCTCAGAACACACCTTTGGGATTGCACTCTGCTATGTAGTCACTGCAGCAGCTCTTGTAGTAAGAGCACAGCTCATCACACTGACACTTCCTGTCAGCATTGAAACCTTCTGTGCAGCGCCCCTTGCATGACTCTATGGAGAGGGAATGTTAGTTGATGCAGCCAAGCCCGGGTCACCCTCGCCCACCCCTCATTGCCACCAATCCCCTCCTGCACCTTGGTCGGCCAGAGCAACCCATGCCAGCAGGGCCAGCAGGAGAAGAGGCCTCCGGTGTGCCATGACAGGACCTCGAGCTGAGGGCCTGGGTAGCTGGGCTCTGAGCTCCTGAAATCTGTGCTCTCTTGCTGGAGAAAAGACAAGGTCAGATAGGGTGGGAGGGAACTGGAAAGGAAGAGCGACCTTTTCTGTTGTTCTGTTTGCTTAACCTCAAACCAGCCCCCAGTTTCCTGGCTCCAGAGGCTGCTGCTTCAAAGGATCACATTCCCAGAACCCTGGACCTGGGAGAGCTCAGAAACAGAACGCTTGCTAAACTCTAGGTCATCAGGTCATCAAGACAAGAATTCCGTAAAATACAGCAGAAGATTCATGCTGTCACTCACTGGACAAACTTTTTCACCTCTCTGGGTCCTGGGTCTCTTTTCTGTAAAGCAGGACTATAATACTTTGCCTCATGAGGTGTTGAAAGATTACATGAGCTGGACCAGACAAAATGTCCAGGGTAGCTTTAAATTTCTTCCCATAAATGGTTATTGATCCATGGTTTGTTTGATTAGGCCCATCTCTGGCCAGATTCTCACCCACAGTGGGAGAGATTACGATCTCTGGAGAATTTTTTTTTATTGTAAAAATACAGAGTTTCATTTGTATCTTTGTGAGTGCATCAGTCTCTCTAAAATGGTCTTCAAGGCACAGGAAACATCAAAACCGATCACACTAGACCAGATTAGATTCCTGAAACCTCCACTGATTCACTGTTCCTGGCCCATCGTCAGTTTGCTGCTCTGTGGAGAGTGAGTTTACTTAGCACACTTTTAGTTTTCTGAGAAGTATCATCTGTTTACCCAGAACATGCCCATTGGCACAGAACACCTGATTTTTGCATTAAAATTTTATTTTCAGACCTCTACAGGCTTCTAAAGCCTTCCCACCACCTAATGCTTGTGATCTTGAGTTTTAAACTGTTTTCCTCTTCTGTCCTCAAAGAAGAGTATGCCTTTAACATTCTCTTTTTTGTGGGTTTCAGTAATCTCATCTGTAAAATGGATAACAATCCTACCCCACAGGAGTGTTGTGAGGCTTAACTGAAAATCATGCATAAAATGTCCTCAGGAGTTGCACAGGGAGCCAGGTGTTGTGATGCATGCCTCTAATCCCAGCATTCCAGAAGTTGAGGCAGGAGAATTGCTGTGAGTTCGAAGCTGACCTGGGCTACAAAGTGAGCTCAGGACCAGGCCAGCTTGAACTACATAGTGAGACCCTGTCTCAAAAAAAAAAAAAAAATTTTGTACAAAGGCTAGGGATGTAGTTTAGTGGCGGAGTGCTTGTCTAGCATGGTGAGGCCCTGAGTTTCATCCCTACTATGACAGAAAAAGCAAAAACAAACCATAAAAGTCTATGGAATTACTACCATTGCTTTAACCACTAGGAGGGGGAAGGCACACTCGGCGGCTTTCCTCTTTCCGCCCTCTTCTTCCACAACCAGAGCAGGACAGGGGTAGGGAGGGCGCCCGGGTGTGGGCGTGGCTCGCGAAGGGGTAGAGGCAGGGCTGTGCACCGGAGGGGCGGAGTCCCTGGAGACCAGAGGCGGGGCCTCCGCTCCAGACTCAGCTCTGGGGCGTGGCTGCCGCCCCGCATCTCTCCACCCAGCCCAGCCCGGGTTAGAACCGTGCTTTGTTCCGCTGCCTTCTCTCCCGCGTCTGGATGCTTCCTTCGCCTTCCCATCCCGCCTTTCGCCCGTTTCCTGAATCTGGGCTCGCATTCCCTTCCCCAGCGGCTGCCCTTGAACCAGGGCTCCCCCTCCTCCAACTTCAGGCCGCCTCCTTGCGGTGCAGTCTTCTGCACCCCGCTCCGCGCGCTCCCTTCCCGGCCGCCCGCTCTCCGCTGCCGCTTCTCCCCGGTCGGGTCTCCGCCCGGCCCCGCCCCTCCAGGCGGGGAATGTCCCCCGCAGCCCCGCGCCCATGGTCCTGACGCTGCTCCTCTCCGCCTACAAGCTGTGCCGCTTCTTCACCATGTCGGCACCACGGGCCGGCGGCGAGAGGCTGACGGTGCCCAGGTCGGATGGGGGCGGTGGCGCGGGTCCATGGTGGGCCACGGGCGGCCGCGGGCCCCGCGAGGTGTCGCCCGGGGCGGGGGCCGAGGTGCAGAGCGCCCTGGAGCGGGCGCTGCCGGAGCTGCAGCAGGCGCTGTCGGGGCTGAAGCAGGCTGGCGCCGCGCGGGCCGTGGGCGCAGGCCTCGCTGAGGTCTTCCAGCTGGTGGAGGAGGCCTGGCTGCTCCCGGCCGTGGGCCGCGAGGTGGCCCAGGGTCTGTGTGACGCCATCCGCCTGGACGGCGGCCTCGACCTACTGTTGCGGCTGCTGCAGGCGCCAGAGCTGGAGACGCGTGTGCAGGCCGCGCGCCTGCTGGAGCAGATCCTGGTGGCCGAGAACCGGTGAGAGCACCGGGCCGGGGTGGGGCGGGGGGAGACGCCCGGTGGTGTGGGACCATAAGGGCAATCGAGTGTCCAGGTCTCCCGCGTGCCTCGCACTAGGTCTTTGCCTTAACCCCATTGCATCTCCCATTGAGCTACCCCCTCTATTAGGTATCAGCACGTGTATTTTACAAATGAAGTAAACTTGAGACTTGAGAAAGTTTAGTGACTTGCTCAGCGTCACACGTGTCACAAAGATAACTAATAGTGCAAGGAGGATCACTGCCAGGACTAGTGGGGTAAGGAATGGGGACAGGAAACGGAAGAATGAAGTCATAGGACAGGAGCTGCCCCTGGTTCTATGGACTGAGATAGTATCCTACAGCCGATGGCCTGCAAACCCATAGTTCTCTGCCCCATGTGGCTGAGTGCCTTCTCTCCTGATTAGACGTGATTCATTCTGCAGCTGCTGATCGAGACAGAAAGTCTGCTGGAATGAATGAGAAGGGGCAGAGGAAATTGAGGTGCCGAGTTAGGCAGGGGCCAAAGTGTGCATCTTCTTCCCCTTTCCCACATAGCACCAAATGCAATAAGTGGGGTCAAACAGCAGTCTTTGCGTGCCTCTTGGTAACCCCCTGGAGGATCCGGACCCCCGAGGACTCGTTTTCCTCTTTCCTGATGCCGGAGCAGACCAGGAAGTCTCAGTCTAGTCTCTCCCTGAATTCCTAGGTTCCTCAAGATTAGAAGAGCTTTGGAAGAGTCACTTACAGCTGATGCAGCCCTCATGAGAGTTATGGGAATGGTTTTCCTTGCCATCTTAAAAAGAAAGTGAGACAGGAAAAACACTTGGTTCTTAGTAGAAATGATACAACTCTCAAAAAATGCATGAATGAAGTAAGGGTGGGAGACCAAGATAGAGTTCTGATTGTTTAGCAGGTCACTGACCTACCATTCAATATCAGGGACCCTGATCTCCATGAATCTGGAGGGCAAGCAGATGGAGTGGGTGCTCACTAAGTGTGGTGAGGCCCAGGTCTAGCAGGTGCCCCCTTATGAAATATAAGATGGGGCAGCTGTAACTAGAACCTTGAGAGTGGGTACAACCAGCACCATAAGAAGAGGAGGGCTGCAAGATGCAAACATTATTAGTATTTCTGAAGGCTGCAAGTGGCGGTCCTTGGTTAAGAGTTACTGAGAAGCATCACTAACTAAACCAGAAAAACACATATGCCTGCGTATCGCTTCAGCACCAAGGACAGAGCGAAGCCCGTTACCTCAAAGATCAAAATCCTTCCCAAGGTTCTCAGGATCTCTGTCCCGCCCCTAGATGGCCCTGAACAGGGCTGGGAACGAGATAAGAAGAGTGATGCAATGACAGTTTGTGTTTATGAAACCTTTTTCCTCTTCAACCAGTCAACTCCCACGCCCCCACCTCCTCTTGAAGAAGGTTCTTCTATATGGGCGTCCATCTCCTCAGAGCTCTTCTCTGTCTCTCTGTCTGTCTGTCTGTCTGTCTCTCTCTCTCTCTCTCTCTCTCTCTTACCTTCCTTCCTTCCTTCCTTCCTTCCTTCCTTCCTTCCTTCCTTCCTTCCATCTTTCTGAGACAGGATCTCACTATGTAGTGCAGGCTGGCCTTAAACTCATGGTGATCCTCCTGCCTCAGTGCTGGGGTTATAGGTGGGGCCCCGCCATGCCCAGCCATAGCTCTTTTCTTCCTAGTGGGCTGCTGCACCCATTGGCCAGGAGTATAGATCAAGTTTCCTTCACCCTTCAGCTACCAGGATAAGTCCAACGTGGCAGGGACTCCAAACTTGGCTCCAAAACATCAGTAAGGGTGCCTCTGGCTGCCAGCTCTGTAAGTCCACAACCCACCCTCATCAGGACCATGTAATGCATGCATCCTCAGAGAGGGTAAAAGCCTTCCTCAGTCACATGTAATGACTAGAGGGAAGAGACAAGCCTTCTAAAACGTAAAAACAGGAGACTTGCATGTGAATTCAAAAAGTGCAAAGGCATACAAAAAGGGCATGCAGCCAAAATTTCTCCCCAGCCAGACCCCTTCTTTGGAGGAAAATCACTGAAGTAGATTCCTTTTCTATTTACTTCTTTTTTATTTTTATTAATACATGTTTGAGGTACATAATGATTGCATTCACATTGTGGAGTTGGAACATGCACATAACACGTTTTAATTGTTTTTACTCCCCCTCTCCCGCCCTCTCCTTTCTGTTCCCCTCCTTCCATCCCTTGGTCCCCTTCCCATTTACAAGTTTCTTATGTATCCTTTCAGAGCCTGTGTAGGCACTTACAAGCACTTTTTTTTTTTAAGATAAATCTTGTGACACAAGCCTTGAATTACTGTATAGCCCAGACTGACACAAACTCACGATAACCCTCCTGCCTCAGCCTCCTGTGTGCCAGGAGCTATGTATATGAGGTGCTCAAAGTGTGCATCTGGCTTGGTTAAGAGTTACTGAGAAGCATCACTAACTAAATCAGAAAAACACAAGGTTCTAGACATTTATTAGCACAGCAAACTGCTGAAGTGTGTATACATATTTTTGGTGGACTCTATCTATCTATCTACCTACCTATATCTATCTACCTATCTAACCATTCCTCCTTGGGAGTTAGGGTTTGGACCCAGATCTTCACCTGTATGTATCCACTTCATCAGACCCACAGTATCTCAGACCACAGAACTGGGAGCTGAATGAACAGCTATCACAACTAGCATGCATCCTCTGCCTCGCCACATGGGCACACAGGCAGCTTCCCAAGGGTACCACTCTCTGCCCCCTCCAAGCTTGTGCATAGATCTGTATGTGCATGCAGTCACCCTTTCTCTTCTCAGCTAGGGCCTCCGCCATCCTCTGACCTAGCCCCACGGGCAATCATACAACACATTTCATGTGCATGCTTCTAGTCTGTGGTTTGGTAAAATCTTTCACCCTGCTTTGTGTGCAGGTGCTTTTAATTTACACAAACAGTGCTGTGTTATACAGCACATTCTGTTGCTTTTTCTTACTCAGTGTTAGGTTTTTAAGATTCTTCATGTTGCAGTATTGTCATCTACTCAGTCTCTTGTTACTGCTCCAAAGTCCTTTAGTGGGCTCTTCTCCATGTTATCTCTGCTCTCTTAGACTTGATGATGGCCTTCAACTTCTTCATACCCTAAAAAACCAGTGGGGGAATATACTGTGCAGGGGCCCTGTGTGTGACACTCTCTTTGGAGAGATTCCTTCTGTATTGTCTCCATATTGATGGCCCCAGCATTCACCTCCACCCACAGTGCTTGGGGCATTTGTAACCCTATACCTTGCCAACCCTCTGTATTACCTAATATCTGACTTTGCCCATCTAACAGGGGTAAAGCAGTAGCTGTTGTTTTAGTGTTTATTTCTGTAATTGCTGATGGGTTAAAGTGTTTATTTTCTTGCTTGCTCGCATTTTGGATTTCCAAAAGAGTAGCTGGGTGCAGTGGCACATAATGTAATCTCAGCTACTCAGGAGACTGAGGGAAGGGGATTGCAGCGTTGAGCTGTGTGTGGGCATTTTTTTTTGAGACAGGGTCACACTTTGTAATTCAGTATGGCTTTAAACTCACTTTGTAGCCCAGGCTGGCCTTTAGCTCATAGCAATCCTCTTGCCTCAGTCTCTCCAGTGCTGAGATTACAGACATGTGCCACCACATCCAGCCCAAATGTGGGCAATTTAATGACTTCAAAATAAATTAATTAATTAACTAATTTAAAAGGGCTGGCAATGTAATTAAAGGCCTGGGCTTAATGCCTAGTACGGGGTGGGGGATTAAGCTGAGCATGGTGGCACACCTATCTCAGACATGGGAGGCTGAGGCAAGAGGATCACAGCAAGTTCAAGACCAGTCATAGTGGAGAGAGAATACGTAGACAGACTGGGCAGGAGAGAGGTATAAGGATGCTGTCCTTACACCTGTGCCTGGGTTCCATCCTCAGCATCAAAAACCAACCCCCCAAAAAAGCACACAGCTTCATTTAAGTTGCCAGTGTATGTTCTTTGCTCATTTTATATTGAATTCACTCCCTTTTTCTTCTTAATTTGAACACTTATTTATATAATCTCTGTATGAATCCCTTGCTAATTTTCTGTTTTTCCTGGCTAGGATTAGACATTGCATCATCTCTGGCTGCCCTTTCCCACCCCACCACTCAACATGCCACCTCATTAGCCTCAGGGCCCTGGTCCCTGGCTCTTCTCTTCCCCAGTTACGCTCTTTTCCCAGACACTGGACTCCCAGCTGTCACCTGCTTAGCGCTGTCGATCCACCAGGCATGCATTACATCATGCACTCTGGCTAACATCGTGGCCAGAGCGCCATTACCTTGTTCACTGTTTAGTTACTGGCTTAGTGTTGCCTCTGATTCACAGAGGGTAAGGTCCAGTGAGACTTGTTGTGTTGCGTTTTATTTTGTTTTGTTTTTTTAAAGACAGGGTCTTGCTGTGTATTCTCGGCTAGTCTTGAAATCACCCTGTAGCTCAGACTGGCCTCAAAGTCATGGTAACCCTCGTGCCTCAGCCTCTAGAGTGTTGGATGTGCCATCACACTTGCTCCAGTCAGGTTTAGTCGCTGTATAACATCAGGCTCCTTAACACAGAGCACAGCACACAGTAGGTCCTCAAGAAATACCTGTTGAATGAGGGTCACAGTCATGGAACTTTGAGTGAGAAAAGAGTTTGAAGGCAAAACTGAGGGTGATCAGATATTGGATAATACTGAGCTTTTACTATGTGACAAGTACTATGCCAAGTACTCTTTATGAATTATTTTATTAATCCTGATAATAATCCTGCCAGGTAGGTATTGTTATATTCCTAATTATGAGATGCAGAAACTAAACACAAAGGATAAAGGCAGGTGCCCACGGTCCCATAGTTGGAAAACAACAAAAAGGGAACCAGGCTGGGGCAGCGTGGGGGCCAGAGCCGGAAGCACTGTGCTTCTCAAGGAGAGGAAGTGATGGAGGAAACAGCTGTGGCCAGGACTTCTACATCTTTAAAATCAGAGAAGACGTGTGGCCAGGCCCGAGGGGGAGACAAGGAGAATAATGCTTTTCCCTTAGTTTCATGTGACACTCCAGCGGCCCAGAGAGGTTAAGTGACTAGGCTCCCACCGAGCAAACCAAGCTCCCCTGCCCGCAACTCTGCGGTCCCTTCCTCTTTCTCCTGGCAGGGACCGTGTGGCGCGCATCGGACTGGGCGTGGTTTTGAACCTGGCGAAGGAGCGCGAGCCGGTGGAACTGGCGCGGAGTGTGGCAGGGATCCTAGAGCACATGTTCAAGCATTCAGAGGAGACGTGCCAGCGGCTGGTGGCGGCCGGCGGCCTGGACGCGGTGCTGTACTGGTGCCGCCGCACGGACCCGGCGCTCCTGCGCCACTGCGCGCTGGCGCTGGCCAACTGCGCACTGCACGGCGGCCAGGCGGCGCAGAGGCGCATGGTGGAGAAGCGCGCCGCCGAGTGGCTCTTCCCGCTCGCCTTCTCCAAGGAGGACGAGCTGCTGAGGCTGCACGCCTGCCTCGCGGTGGCGGTGTTGGCCACCAACAAAGAGGTGGAGCGCGAAGTGGAGCGTTCGGGCACGCTGGCGCTGGTGGAGCCGCTCGTGGCCTCGCTGGATCCGGGTCGCTTCGCCCGTTGCCTGGTGGACGCCAGCGACACAAGCCAGGGCCGCGGGCCTGACGATCTGCAGCACCTCGTGCCGCTGCTCGACTCGTCGCGCTTGGAGGCTCAGTGCATCGGGGCTTTCTACCTCTGTGTGGAGGCTGCTATCAAAAGCCTGCAGGGCAAGACCAAGGTGGGGTGTCACCTAGGCTAGGTCTAAGTCTAGAGAGCTCTGGCAAGGCTTCCCAGAGAAAGCGATATTGAACTGGGCCTTGAGGTACACATAAAAACTGGTGAAGCTAGAAAAGTCATTCAGAACTCAAAGGCAAGACCCAAACTTTAGTCTTGGCCTCTGGAGTCAAGCGGAAGACACAAAGCCTTATAAGCAAGGGGACACCTGTGTTTTACGAAGATCACCCTGGCTGTTGTATAGAAAGGGGGCTGGCAAGGACGAGACCAGGGGCAGGGGGATGGGATGGGAGCTAACTTCAGGAACAGGGAACTGAGAGAGGCTGACTGTGTTGGCGGTGACAGGGGGAAGCAGACAGATTCAAGAAGATAGATTTACCTAGTGGCCTTAGGACCAGGAGAAGGTGAGCAAGAACGTGAGGGTGACTCCTGGCTATGAACCTAGACAACCCTGGATCAGGTAAACCGGCTAAGGAGTAGGCCAGGGGAGGGGGCTGAGTTCAGTGGGACTCAGTTTGAAGTGATTGAGAGATGCCCAGTTGGAAACTTTCAGTGACCAGTTTAATCACTTGGGTCTGGAGCCTGGAAAGGAAATGGTGACAGAGGCAGACATCTGGGATATCAGTGTCAGCCAAATAACACTCCTGCGCCCCAAAGGATCCCTGGGGCCAGGGTCTAACTCACAGGCTTTAAATTGCTGTATGAACTTTGCCACCTGGATTCATGGTTTATTTTTATTGTTATTTTTGTGGCAGTCCTGGGGATGGAACCCTGGACCTGCATATGCTGTAGCAAGTGAAGTGCTCTGCCACTAAGCAACCTTTCCAGCCCTGGTTTTATGTTTATGCTCTGGAAAGTCAAAGCAGTTGAACCACGGTAGCAGTGACTAGTGATAATTTCATTACTAAAAGGTGATAGGGTTTTTTTTTTTTAAATTCTAAAGATTCAATATTATCCCTCTAACATTATCCTCTCTTCTGCATTCCTCTGGGGGGCCCTGATGCACAGGAGGGGTGCACAGTCTTTGGCACAGCTGTTTATACTACAGTTGTCATGTGGGGATACCCAGAGGAGTGTATCTCCCAGGTGATCACCACTCATCCCAAGAGTCTGTGTCTTCCAACGTCCAATATTTTAAGCACTTCTGATTCATCTCTCTGTGCCCCAGAACTGGGCCATGACAAGCCTTTCCTTCTTGCACATCGTTCTGCTTTGGGAGAAGGGACTTTAGGGAGTGAAGACCACCAGAATTGGACCTGGGCAATGGCTTTGTTGCCCCTTTCCCACCAGGACCAAGCGAGGGCAGTTTAACAAAGATGCTGAACCCCTGGGGCTGGAGATTTAGCTCAGCGGCATAAGTGCCTGCTTTGCAAGTAGGCAGTCGTGAGTTCGATCCTTGGTACCGATAAAAAGGAAAAAAAAAAAAAAAAAAAAAAGATGCTGAACTCCTGCTCCATGTCCTTCATTGGGCCAGGCACAGGGCTCCAATGGTGACTAAAGAGGCCCTCAGCTTGCAGTCTGGTGAAATTTGCCATATCAACTAGTTGCCTTCAAAGTGTGGCCCAGGTCCTAATTGAAAGTATGAGTCAAGCCGTGGAGGAATCAGAGCTGCACACAGGAAATGCTAGTCCGATAGGTAAGGAAGATTCCCAAGAGCAGGGTGGAAGATTTACAGAGTTCAGGAACACTAGAGGTGGAGACCCAGAGTTTCGAGAGCCTTGGTGGGTGTGTGATTTGAGCAGAGGGGGTCTGTGTTATTCAGCCTGGCCACATAGTCAGAGCTCAGACTTTATCCCAGGGCAGATGCCGGGGCGGGTGAAGGGGACCTGGTCAGAATGGCCTTTGCTTCAGGAGGGAGAATCTACAGGACTGAATGATTAGTGGATGGCTGCAAGGCTAGTGAGGGGAGGTTTGCAGCCGCTGGCTGGCTGGTGGACCATAGAAGTCTTCTCGCCGCCCTCTCCGCAGGTGTTCAGCGACATCGGTGCCATCCAGAGCCTGAAACGCCTCGTGTCCTATTCCACCAACGGCACCACGTCGGCATTGGCCAAGCGCGCCCTGCGCTTGCTGGGTGAAGAAGTGCCGCGGCGCATCCAGCCCTGCGTGGCCAGCTGGAAAGAGGCGGAGGTCCAGACCTGGCTGCAGCAAATCGGCTTCTCCCAGTACTGCGAGAGCTTCCGGGTAAAGCCGCTAGGGGCCGCCTTCCAGATTTAGAGCAGCGCACCCGGTCCTCCAGGGCTGCAAGCTGGCACCGGCGCCTTGGGCACAGACAGCTGGGTCCCTTGAGAGCCTGCGCGCCCGCTAGACTTTTAGGGGTGGAAAGCCTGTCCTGAGCCACCTTCGGAGTCCCTCACCTCTGCCCTGGGGCCCGCCGCCCCTGCACTGCCACCTCCAGTTCCCTCCCCTTGCATGTGTGCAGAAGGGAGTCCTTCAACTCCTGACCCCTTCCCCAGGAGCAGCAGGTAGATGGAGATCTGCTTCTGCGGCTCACGGAGGAGGAACTGCAAACTGACCTGGGGATGAAATCGGGCATTATCCGCAAGAGGTACGAACTCGACCCCGCCAGGTCTGCCCATCCCTCTGCTACCAGGCAGTCCTCAGTCAGGACCTGAGCGTCTTCTCCTTCGATGCAGGTTCTTTAGGGAGCTCACAGAGCTCAAGACTTTCGCCAACTATGCTACCTGTGATCGCAGCAACCTGGCTGACTGGCTGGGCAGCTTGGACCCGCGCTTCCGGCAGTACACCTATGGCCTGGTCAGCTGTGGCCTGGACCGCTCTCTGCTGCACCGCGTGTCCGAGCAGCAGCTGCTGGAGGACTGTGGCATCCGCCTGGGTGTGCACCGCTCTCGCATCCTCTCCGCTGCCCGAGGTCAGCCTGCGCCTCCGGGACCCCAACCCAGACCCACCCTACAAGGAGTAAAAGGGAGAGAGGGAGCCCTGCTGGGTCAGCCAGGGCAGTAGGTGCATTCTGCCCTGGAGAAGTCCCCAGTCTGAAGTGGGGTGACTAAGTGGAAGTATGCAAGCGGCAGCCAGCCCTCACAGGAAGCATGCCCAGGTGTCCAGAGGGAGACTGGAGGAGGAAGCACTGCTCACCTTGCCCACCCAGATCTAGATTGCAAGGAGAAGGGATGCCTCACCAGGTCTGGAGAAATGTATGGGGTGGGGATGTCAGGGAGGGGAACCAAGTCAGAAGGGGCAGCTTGTGCAAATGTAGGGGCAGCAGAGTGCACGGAGCTTCAGACACAGGGTATGGGTGGGCACCCAAGGGACCTACCCTAGTAGCCAACAGTTTACAAAGCATGGTTTCCGCAGGTGCTTTACAGTGGAGACCAGGGTTCTAGCGGCCCTCTGTATTTACCAACTTGTTTTCATTTACTAATTACTATTTAACTGGTGTTTGTCAAATATTATCTCAGCTAGGCAAGGTGGTGCATGTCTGTAATCCCAGTTACTCTGGAGATTGAGGCTGCAGGATTGCAAATTGCAGGATGGACTAGACAATTTAGCATGATCTTGTTTCAAAATAAATTTTTTCCTTGGCTTTGGTACAGGGGATCGAACTCATTGACTGCATGCTTGCAAGGCAGGCACCTATGCCACTGAGCTAAATGTCCAGCCCTCAAAATAAATTTTTAAAGTGAGCTGGGATGTAGCCCAGGGTAGAATAGCCTTGAGTTCAATCCCCAGCACCATCACCACTTCCAAATAAATAAATAAATAAATAAATAAATAAATAAATAAATCATATCTACAAGCATTCTGTACAGTGAGTGCTAAGATTTTTTAAAATCAGGGTTAAAAACCTTTTAAAGAAGCCAGGCATGGTGGTGCACTCCTGTAATCCCAGCACTCAGGTGACTGAGGCAGGAGGATCATTGCAAATTCAAGACCAACCTGAGCTACAAAGTGAGTTCAAGGCCACCCTGAACTGCTTATTAAGACCCTCTCTCAAAAAGATTAAAAAAAAAAAAGAAGAAGAAACCGGGTGTGGTGACACACGCCTATAATCCCAGCACTCAGGAGGCAAGAGGATTGCTGCAAATTTGAGGCCACTCTGGGTTACAAAGTGAGTCTAGGCCAGCGTGAACTAAGTGGCAAGACCTTTTTACAAAGAAAAAGAAAGTAGCAACAAAACCTTTTAAAGAATAAAAGAGGCACGTGATAAGCATAATCACATCTAGTTTGAGCTTTGAAAAACAATCCTGTATAAGCTCCACCAAAATCAATATAGAACATTTCCATCGTTGGCATTCTAAAAGTGAAAAAATTAAAATTTAAAGATTTTAAAGGACCAAGGATTTAGCTCAGTGGTACAGGCACCTGCCTGGCAAGCATGAAGTGGTGAGTTTGATTCCCAGTACCAAAAAAAAAAAAAGAAAAAATTGAAGATTTCAAATTCATTTCTCAGAGTCAATAAAACCCACAAGGTGACCGAGTGTGGTGGTACATATGTGTAATCCCAGCATTTGAGAGGCTGAAGCAGGATCACTGTGAGTTTGAGGCCAGTGAGATCTTGTTTGAAAAAAAACATGAGATGCTGGGCATGGTGGTACACCCCTGTAATCTCAGCACTCAGGATTCCTCCCACCTCAGCAGTCCTCCTGCCTCAGCCTCCCAAGTGTTGGGATTACGGTGTGTGCTTCCATACCCAGAACTTTTTTATATTGCAGCTTCCAATTCAACTCCAAGGTTTCATATTTATTTATTTATTTATTTATTTATGGTACTGGGGATCAAACTTACAACCTTGTGCTTGCCAGGCAGGGGCTTGTGCTGCTGAGCTAAATCCTCAGCCCCTTCATTTTTTAAAAACTGGAGAAAGGTTAGATATGATGGTGCATACCTCTAATCCCAGCACTCTGGATAGCTGAGGCAGGAGGATTGCAAGTTCAAGCCTGGCCTGGGTAACTTAGTGTTTAAAGCCAGACTGTGTCTAAAAAATAAATAAATGAAAAGGCTGGGGGTATGGTAGTGCCAGAAAATACCAACAAAAACAGGAAGGTCCTAAGGAAAAATAGCTTCTCCTGGCAGTTTTGGTTTTTGTTGTTGTTTCTGTTCTTCATTTGTTTGTTTGTTTTTTGGGTCTTTTTGGAGTCAGGGCTTACTATGCAGTCCAGGCTGGCCTTGAACTCACTATGTAGCCCAGGCTGGCCTCAAATTTGAGGTGATCCTCCTGCCTCAGCCTCCTGAGTAACTGGGATTGTAGGTGTGTGCCACCACACCCAGCTCCAAGGAATTTTTCAATTGAGGTAATGACTTCTCAAATTTGGGTTTTAGAACAATCCCCCTGGTGGTGTGGCAAGTGGTACACAGTGTGCAATCCTAGCTGGCTTTGGGGAAGCCATCAAGGAAGCTGGCATGGAGACCTGCATGGAAGGCCCTGGGGCCGGGGCCTAGGGTATCTAGTAGTGGAATCCACAGACGATGTCAGCTCTACTAGGGCAGAGATCCCACTGTTTCCCAAGCACTGAGAACTGTGCCTGGCACACAGCACGGGCTTCGTAAGAAAGGATGGGCCCCAATTTTACCACCATGTGACTACCAACCTCCCAGCTTCTGCAGGACTGAGAGAAGGACTAGCTCCGTGCCTGAGCTGGCACGGAGGTTTCTGGTGGAAAATGGGAGGAGGGGGCACTGGGATGCTCTGGGCTGTGTTGAGCATGTCGGGCCCAAGGGCAGCTGGCTTCATAAGTCTGCAGTGGGTGAGAGAGGGCAAGGCTGGAGGGACATGTCATTGTCACTAAATCCCATTACGTGCCTGTGAGAGGGACTCAGCAGAGGCTAGAGCCATCCTTCCGATAGGTCCTGTGTCTCCACTTCAGTGGCCCTTTCTGAAGCAAGCCACCTTGCCTGCCCAGGCTGGAAGCTGGGGAGTGGTGGGGAGGGGCTCCCTCACCACACTGCTTCTCATTGGCCTCAGAAATGCTCCACTCTCCGCTGCCATGTACCAGCGGCAAGCTTGGCGGGGACACCCCAGATGTCTTCATCAGCTACAGAAGGAACTCAGGCTCTCAGCTGGCCAGGTAAAGAGGGGCAGGTGGGCGGCGTGAGGCCTTGGCACGCGGCCACTGTGGTGCCACAAGGCCTTCTCTGCAGCCTCCTTAAGGTGCACCTGCAGCTGCATGGCTTCAGTGTCTTCATCGATGTGGAGAAGCTGGAAGCCGGCAAGTTTGAGGACAAGCTTATCCAGAGTGTCATGGGTGCTCGAAACTTCGTGCTGGTGCTGTCGGCTGGGGCCCTGGACAAGTGCATGCAGGACCACGATTGCAAGGACTGGGTGCACAAGGTAGGTGCTGACCTGTCCTCTGCACTCCAAGTGCTGGCCTGCAGCCCAGGGGCAGGGTCATCCTTCCATCCCTTCTTGTCTGCACATCCTTGAACCAGCTAGAAGTCGAGAGCCACAACCTTGACTGGAATAGCACTTTAGCAAGCCACTAGGTACTCAGAGCCTCAGTTTTCTCTTCTGTGAAATAGGAATAACTTACCTACCCTATTCACCTTGTAGGATTATTATGATATCAGACTGAGATAAAAATGATTTGAAAAATAATCAAACAGTATAATGTAGTTGTTAAAAGCACAAAACAAGTGGGGCATGGTGGCATATGCCTGTAATTCCAGCACTGGGGAGGCTGAAGCAGGAAAATTGCTACAAGTTTGAGACCAGCCTCACCTACCTAGCAAGACCCTGTCTCAAAAAAATAAAATAAAATTTTTTTTTTTAAATCGGTACCAGGGATTGAACTCACGACTGCCTGCTTGCAAGGCAGGTGCTTATGCCGCTGAGCTAAATCCCCAGCCCCTATGTTAGTACAGTTGTTTATAACACATTTTTACTGTGTTTGGTTTTTCTTTCTTTTTTTTTTTTGTCAATAAAATAAATTTTTAAAAAGAGCATAAAACAGCAGAGTATGCCAGCATGTGCATGTAATCCCAGCATTCTAGGAGGCTGAGGCTGGAAAATTGCAAGTTTGAGTCAGCCTAAGCAATTTAGCAAAATAGCTCAGTGGTAGAACATCCCTTGGGTTTGATTCCCAGAACCAGGAGAGCAAGAACAGGAAAAGCCAAAAGAGCAAGAGGGGAGGGAGGGAGCAGAAGAATGAACAAAGCTCTGTAAGTTTGAATCCTGATTCTGGCCTTGGGCAAGTTAGCCCCAAGAAACTCTGTTGTTACTGGAAAATACAGATAATGATAGGAGTGAACTCCCTAGGATATTGTTACAATAGAGCTAAATCGAGAAGTGTTTAAAATACCCAGCACATGATAACTGCTCAATAATGATAACTATTATTACTAACATAATTATTATCCCTCCGCATCTGTTTTTTTAGTTTTTTTTTTTTTTTTTTTTTTTTTTTTTTTTTTTTTTTTGGTACTGGGGATCGAACTCACGATCTAGTACTTGCGAGGCAGACGCTTAGGCCTCTGAGCTAAATTGCACCTTCATTGCATGCCACATGGTAGGAATCTAGAATACTTACAGGACAGATGGATAAATGGATCCACCTGATTAATGGTTAGTCATTAATCAGTCACTAAGAAGTGGGGTTGGAGCTGAGGGAGGCTGTGGTCCTTTGCAATGAGGTCCTTGTCCTCAAGCAGCTAAGGAGACACGAATATGCCCACGATGAATCAAGCCACACATTGCATTCCCATGGTCTCAGCTACTTGGTTCATGGTCATTTGTTGGTTTATCTGTGGTTCTGGGGATTGAATCCAACCTTACGCAGGCTAGGTGAGCATTTTATCAATGACTGCCTCCTCCACCAACTACTGGGAAGCTAGGAAGGGAAGATCACTTGAGCCAAGGAGAGACCCTATCTCTTACACGCACACACACCACACATACGAGTGTGCTACAGGGATTACCATATATGAGTTGGCACACATGCTAATCCAGGTAGGTAAACCTCTTACTTTTTAAGGGAATATACAGAAGGGAGAAAGCAGGGAAGGATGAAATAAGTATGTAGCCACAGCTGCAACCCGGTGGGATGATACATACCTGTCATCTTAGCATTCTGGGAAGCTGAGGCAGGAGGATCACAAATTCCATCTCAGCCTGGGAAACTTAATAAAACCCTGTCCCAAAATAAAAAATGGGTTAGGGATGGACCTCACTGCAAAGGCTCCTTCAGTCCCCAGTACTGCTACCCCTCAGCAAACTGGGCACAGAGGAAGTGGAAGAGAAGGCATAAGCGAAAGAATCCCAGGGACGAGAAGGTGCCACCACCTACATGCATCGTTGTTACTACTTTTTATCACACAGATGGCAGTGAAGCGCAAAGTAGCATAACGTTTGCACACCCACGCTGCTAGTGTAAACAGAAAAGCTGGGATTCCATCCCTGCCTATCTGATCCAAAGCTCACGCTGTGTCCACAAACCCAGGCTGTGTTCCATGGCACAGATCTGGGATCGTGGGAGGTAAGACGGGGTTGGATTCAGCTTATAGCATAACTGAAGTGATGGTTAAGCACATGCATGGTTCTGATCCATGTCTTTTAGGTTTACAGGGTATGAAGACTTGACCTTAATCAAATTTTTGTTCACAGCCAGCTGAGTGATTTTTTTTTTTAAACTGTTTTTGTTTTTTTTCAAGACAGGGTTTTGCTGTAGAGTCCAGGCTGGCCTGCAACTCACACCATCCTCCTGCCTCAGCCTCCCAAGTGCGGGGCTTACAGGCATGCACCACCACTCCATGCAGCTGAGTGATCTTGAATAAGTCATTGCCCTTTCTTGCCCATTCTCTGTGCTGCTTTTGGATCTGTGGACTTCCAAAAGAAGCAAATGTCTAAAGGTTCCCAAATTAATCACAGCAAGGTGGGAATTCATCCAGGCCTAAAGTGGTCCTAGTTTTGGCCTCTAAAGGCTTGAACTGGAGGCCTGGCCCCTCTTTGGATGGGTGATCATGTGACCTGGGGGAAGTCCCTCCCTTCCCTTCTGGCCTTTTCCCCATCATCTGTAAAATGGAGAGGAAGCCAGTCGGGGATGAAGTCATGCAGACTTCTTCCCCGCCTCCACAAGGGTGTTTGGCACCCACTATCCCAGCAGCTGGAGAGGAGGGAGGAAGCAGGCAGGGAGGTGGCAGCCTTCCCTTTGGACCAGTCCCAAAGGCTCCGTCATCTTTCTTTGGTTGTTTTTAGTGCCTAATGGCTTCTGGTTTCAGTACTCCTTTCCCTGAAGCCACATTTAGCGGGCAATCAATATCGAAAACCACAAATGAACTGCACTCCAGAAAGTCCCATCCCCGTGATCGCCCTTAAAAACATGATTCAATAGGCACTTACCAGAGTACATATTAATAAGCAAGATCCTCAGAACAACTGTGCAGGTTTTATTGTTCCCACTTCACAGAAAAGGAAATAACACATCTATTTCTTAGGTATCCTTTTTTTTTTTCTGTCTTTTTCTTTTTTATCGGTACCAGGGATCAAACTCACGACTGCCTGCTTGCAAGGCGGGCACTTATGCCGCTGAGCTAAATCCCCAGCCCCATTTTTTTAAGTACCAGGGATCGAACTCAGGACCTCGCACTTGCCAGGCAGGAGGTATCCATTGTATGCTAAGCACTACCCTGATCACTGGCCCTGGACTATTACAGTTATCCCATGCACCGGGAACTCTCATTAACTCTACTTTATATGTTAGAAAACAGAGACTTTGGGAGCCCATTAGAGGCTGTGGGCTGTGGCAGAAAAGCCTCAATCCTCAAATCATGCCTTGAGCTCTTGGTGAGCAGCCAACATCCTGCAGCCCTCAGAACCACCACTCCTACTCACTCAGCCCTGGCCGGGAGTCCTGTCATTAGCACAAAGCCCTCATCACTCAGGAGACTCCAGTGGTTTTAGGAGCTCGGGACCAGCTCTATTCCAGCTCTACTCCAGGGCAAACATCAAAGTTTATTATTGTTTTTGCAGACCTGGGGATTGAACCCAGGTCCTTCTCTCTGAGCTACATCCCCAGCCCTTCTTTACTTTTTATTTTGAGACAGGGCTTCATTGCTAAATTGCCCAGGTTGGGCTCGAACTTTCAACACTTCTGCCTCAGCTTCTCAAAGAGCCGGGATTATAGTGTGTGCTACCACACCCAGCCCCTAAGATTTTCTTACAACATGTGAAAGAGACACCAAGGTGCATTTAAGACCAATACCTTCCTCTGGCTAGAGGCCAAGTACCTCCCTGATCCTAGGGTCCCTAAGACAGAGGTCTCTTCTCTCTCCAGGAGATTGTTACTGCTTTAAGCTGTGGCAAGAATATTGTGCCCATCATTGATGGCTTCGAGTGGCCTGAGCCCCAGACTCTGCCCGAGGACATGCAGGCTGTGCTCACCTTCAATGGCATCAAGTGAGTCCCAAGGCCCTGGGGACAAGGGACAGGGGTACAATCACGCCAGCTTCCTCTGCCCAGCCTTCTGACCCACTTGGTCTCTCTGCCTACAGGTGGTCCCACGAGTACCAAGAGGCCACCATTGAGAAGATCATCCGCTTCCTGCAGGGCCGCTCCTCCCGAGACTCCTCTGCAGGCTCTGATACTAGTTTGGAAGGGGCTGCACCCATGGGCCCACCTTAACCAGTCCCCAGGTCCCAAGTGCTGCTGTGACTCCCATGTCCTCCTGAAGGTACACCTGGCCAGTCTGGGCTGAGACAGGGCCCTTCTCAGGACAGCTTGGGACAGCTCTCGATGTCCCCACTCTCCTGGCCCGCATTAAACCTATCCCTTTCCGTGTGTGGAAAGGGAGGGAAGCCAAGTGTGGGGATGGAGAGGCCGTCTCCTCCCTCTGGCCCTGCCATTAGGTTCCCTGTCTTCCACTCTCACAACTGAGTCCCACAGAAGGTGGGGGGTGGGTTGCTGCAGGTCTTGTCTCCTACCCAGAGTGCAGCTGGTCTGAGAAGGGTGAAACCCAGCACCTTCCGACAGGTAGGATGTGGGCAATGCCCAGTCCTCCTGCGCCTGGGCCTCACTGTCCAAGTAAGGGCCTGGGCTCCGGAGGCAGCAGGAATGAGAGTCACACTCAGCCAGTCCTTGTCCCTGGCTCACCGTTTCCTGCTGCCTTGTGGCCTTGTGTCACACTCAGTGCTCCTCCCAGCCTTCCTCTGGGGACAGCCTTCTTTGCCATATCCAGATGCAAGGTTGGGCTGAGCTGGCCTTCTGGCTGGTCCACGGCCTAGGAACCTCTTGGGATTGGGCAGGGAGGCCAGTCTCAAGCCCACCTTATCACATGCCTTGGTGCTATGCCTAAGGCTCCTGCCCGGCCGGGCCTGCTGGCTTCCCTAGCTCCTCACACTCCCAGAGCGTCCTACTCACTTGCTCAGAAAAGAGAGGGACCAGGCAGCCTCCTGGCAGCACCAATAGCCTGGGGAAAACTAGGGTTCCGTGGGGAGAGTCGCCATCAGGAAGGGGAGGATTTTGCTGCAGGGCAGTTTTGCCAGATATAAAGTGCATTCAAATCCTTGGGGACTCCTGGTAAAATTCAGTTTAGGAGAAACCATGTGGGGCCTGAGAGTCGGCATTTCTGATTCCCAAGAGAGCTGATGACACCGAGCAGCAGGTCCCTCCGGAATCCTTGTCATTTCCCAAGAACTGGGATGAGGGTCTGATCATCAAAGCCACCCTAGTCAGTATGGTTGTTCCTACTTTATGGATAAGAAAAAGGCTGAGTGAGCCCAGTTCTCAAAGCCATAGACGCAATCCCAGGATCCAGGCCCAGGCCTCCCAGCACTCAGTCACTGGTGAACCTGCTGTCCTCTGAGTCTCATCCTGAGGGATGTGCCCCAGGCAGGACCATGGTTTGTTCCTTGCCTCAGAGATTCTGGCTTTGGGACAGGTTTCAGCCAAAAGCCCAGGAATAAACAGAAATGACATGAGAGATTCCCTGTGCCCTTCCCTGCACTGGAGCACAAAGGGGAAAAGTGCTCTCTCTCCAGCAGCCCGGCTGGTGGAGCTGGCTGTTCCTGCTGCGTTGCTCTCCTCTGAGGGGACCTTGAGGCTGGCACTGACCCCAAATATCTTAGATGTGGAGTATGCCGGGGTGTGCCTTGATTTTAGGGCCACATGGTCAGAAGGTCTCATACAGGCTTGGGGCATCTTCCTTCCATCTCCCTCCCTGCTAAACACCCCATCTTTCGCCTCCATGCCGGCCTGGCTGTGGCTCTGAGCATGCGCAGTTCGCCCTCTACCACAGGTGTGCCAGCGCAGGGAGAGGCTCTGTCCTGGATGCTGCCCCCACAGAATACAGTTAATCACAATAGAGTGGATGAGCATCCCCAGGGCAAGTTTTCTTCTGTCCTCAATCAGCCCACTCCCCATGGAGGGCCCCACAGGTAGTATTGAGAGAAGCTCCTGGGTTTTCTTTTGTCCAGTATACTCCCCATTGATGTCCACTCCACTGTCTGGCCATCTGGCCGACCTCTTTCCTGCATGTCCCCCAGGATAAGCAGAGCCCATCCTCCAGCCCACCCGGGCCAATGTGCTCATGGGTGGCAGCCCTCTTGCCAACATTTATCACTTGTAGCCAAGACAAAACCATTAGCTTGATGCTGCCCTTACCAAACACAGCCCCTCAGGACTGATCCTTCTCCAGAGGTACAGTTGCCTGGGCACAGCTGCTGTCCCCAGACTGGGGCTAAGTCAGCGAGGTCCCTACCCCACCTCACCTTCCCTTTCCCAAGGGCCACAAACTCCTCAGGGGCATTCAGAGTCCAAAAGTCCAGCCACAGTTCATTCATCCTTAACCAGGTCCAAGAAGACAGGCCTCTCACTCTAGATTGTATGGGGTGGAAAGATCTCAGAGAATCTGCCAAGTTTGCTTCCTACCGTGTCCCACCAGATGGGGGCCCCAAGATCAGACAGCTCCTGGCACTGCTGGCCCAGCCCTTCCTAGAGGGGCTTGCTCAAGGCTGGCCAGAGGCCAGCTCAGAATCTTTGCCCTCCTCACCTCATGGCCTGATGGTGGCTGGGTTAGAGGAAGCCCTGTCTACTCAGATCTCCCAGCCACAGAGGGACAGTGTGGGAAGAGTCTGGAAATAGGGGTCCAAGCTGTGGAGGGCGCAGCTGGCCCTGGGCTACCCCCATTTCATTTGTATGATATCCAGTCAGGAAACCAGCTTGCAGGACAGGTGAGAGAGAAAAAAGGGAAAGACAGGGCCAAGTTGCCATGGGCACTTCTGGTTTGAAGAGCTGAGCAACCCCTGAATTGGGTCTGCTTGGGGGGCTTAAAGCCTTTGTCAAAGCCAGTGCCTTACTATGAGTAAGATTCTGTCTTTCAGCTTCCAACCTTCCTAAGAATGGGCTCCTCACTCTGGGAATCTGGGACCATGGGTTGGTTATAGGAGAAACTGGCTCCTGGGTTTCCACTGATCTCCAGAGTAACAGTGTATGGCTCTGCTGCGATGCTCAGCAATGGAGTTATCTGAGGGCTGATCGGCAGCAAAATCGGAGCTTCGTGGGCTGGTGTGGCCAGGAAGACCGGTATTGGTAGCTCCAGGGACTGTGTCGGACTGATCCTCAGGAACAGACAGCCAAGGCCCTGTCCCCAGCTCATTTCTGTTTTTGTGTTTGGACACAAGCTCTTGCTCCAGGCTGTTTTTGAGCTCCTGGGCTCAAGCAGTCCTCTTGCAGAGCCTGTGGGGCCACAGGAATGTGCCACCATAGCCACTTGCCCCATGCTTCTGGCATGATGCAAGCCTGGTGGCCTCCCACATAGCTCAAGGGTTGAGAAAAGTCAGATGAGCCAGCAGGACATCCGCAGGGCCACTCTCACAGGCAGTTTAGGGGCACCTGCCCAAGCTGGCTGCAGGTATCTGACCCTTGTCAGGCAGACCAGTAGCAGAAAAGAGACGACCCCAAGCCTAGTGCCTGAAAATAACCAGAAGGTTATTTTCAGCATGACTCAACTGATTTATTGTGATGACTGGCAGTGTTAAACCCAGGGGTGGGCAGTTCATAATCAGGATCAATTTCCAATCACAGTGACAGGCGCATTCTCCTTCCAGGGACTGCCAGGTCCTCCCACAGCCTCCTACCCCACTGTGGCCAGCACTTATGGGACAGCAGATTTACCAGTCATGAGGGGACTAGTGTCACATACTTTGCAGTGTGGGCTGGAGAGATGCCAGCCCTCATGCTTCACCTGGGCCCTGAAGTATCACCTCCAACAAGACCTGTCCTCTCTCAGATGGTGAACACATCTGTCCCAGACGGTCCCTGTCTTTCAAGGGGAGGGGCAGGTGCTACAGAGGCTGGGATCTCAAGGTGGATTTGCAGTCAGGCCGAGCTCACTCTGCTCCTCAGGCCCAGGCACATCAGGGACGATGAGGAAACTGCTGGAATTCAGGGTGAGGATTAATCCTTTCCAGTATCCTGTGAGAGACCAGAGAGAGGGTACAGAATTGACCTGGAGGAACCCTAAACCGCTGTCCAGAGAACTGACATAGGATTGATAGGGGCGAAGGGGTCCCACCTCCCCAAGCTGAGAGGTCGAGATAGCTCTGGAAATAACTCTTCAGACTATCAGGAAAAAGTCAAGACCAGAGATGTAACTCAGTGGTACAATGCCTGCTTGGCAAACACAAGGTGCTGAGTTCGATTCCTAGTATACCACCCTCTTGGAAAGTCAGGGGGCCAGACTGGCCCGTGGCCTGGTCACAAGTGGCTGAGGATGTTTTCTGAGATTTTACCATATTTCCATCTGTGAAATGGGACAGGGGAGGATGAAAGGGGCTAAGATGCAAGGAAAATGGCCCTGAGGGGCAGCATTTGCCAAATGTTCCTGCCTGCCACCTTGCCCTTGTGGAACTATCCTGGAGGGCGAGGCAGCTGTGAGAGGGGAGTCAGCCTGGGACCGGGCACCCCGAGAAAGGCCCCAGAATGAAGCTGCCATTTCCAGCTGGGAGGCAGAGGGAACCTTCAGGATAAAGGGCTCTGTTACAAACACAGGTTGAGGGCCCAGTATTACCCAATGAGGATGGCTGGGATGAAGAGGAGGCCAGCTCCCAGGAGGAAGGGGAACCCCTTCATGAAGTTCCGAGTGGCTGGGTACAGCGAATTGAAGATGCCAGAGGCCGTCAGCATGGCCAAGCTATTCACACAGGCCACAGCAGAAAAGAGAGCACCTGTGAAGAAAGAAATGCCACACTCTGGAGTTTAAAAGACCCCGGCTCAAATCCCGGCGCCACCCTCTCTCAACTGTGTGACCCAGGGCAAGTCGCCCAACCTAAATCTCACCTCCCTCCCCCGCGTGACAGATTCATGAAGTCTTGCACAAAAAGGACCTGGGACAGAGGGGCTGCTAAATAAATGGCTGCTGTTAAATCCACAGTAAGTCTAAGTTACGTCTTCTAGTGAAAGCCGACAAGAAATGGCGCTTGTGGAGTTTTTATCTTTGGAATCATTCCCCGTTTGGGATGAAGTACTAGTTTGCTTCTCATTTCTAATGCTCACTGCTGTGTGTACCCTGAAGGGCAGTTTATCCTCCTGGGTTCTGTTCCTTCTGCTGTGAAATAAGGCCAAAAGCTAGCTCAAAGATTGTCCAGCCTGAAGCTCACAGGTACAGCACCTATCACAGGGTGGCCTCCTGCGCATGGCCATGTTAGTAACGGGCATTTGTCTCTCCTGTTGCCCTTGGCATCCCTGTGCACAGTGAAAAGTGTTGGGAAAAAAGCTAGAGTGAATCAAGGCCCTTGTGGTCTGAGCACATCAGAGCCCATGGTGGGCTGTGTATGGCACCAGGCTTTCTGTTGTTATCAGATCCTTCTTCCAGGGGAGCTGCATTCAGACTGCAGGACAAAGACCTAGAGGTCTGAAGCGCTGTTTTTAATTATGCGGGCATGAGCACCAGCCTAATAGAAATTGAGATTAAACTCAGTCAGAACTGAAAACATCTGTTGACATCATCAAAGATAATTACTCATCCTAGACAAGGAAGGGGAACCAGGACCAAAACCCAGCTCCTAAGACCCACTGCTCTTAAGAACAGACTTGGGTTTGCCTCCCAGCTCTGTCATTTTCTGAGTGACCCTGGATGAGTCAGTCCATTAACATCGTGGGTCTCTGTTTCTTCACCTGTCAGCTGGGGGCAAGGAAACCATGTCACAAGGCTGTTCCTTTCCCCTGGACTACACTCTGACCCTCATGAAGCAGGGAACCCGGGAGTCACACTCACTTAACAGATAGAAAAGCTCAGGTCTGGAGAGAGTAAATGCTCGTTATCCAGAAAGCACACAATCCTGCTCAGCTAGCTGCAAACCCCAGCTCTGTGGTCTCAAAGTCTGAAGCAGTGTAATCCTCTGCCAGCCCTGGCTAATTAAACAGATGCGCATCTGTCTTGGTCACATTCTCCTCCCTGGTGGAAGGGAGGAAGGGAGGGGGGTCTCCAGCCACGGCTGCCCATCTGCCCAGTTCAGGCCACACTGGGCACGAGGAACCAGCTGAAGAGATCCTGACACTCACCCTGCTCGGAGTGGCCCACCAGCTTGGAGAGCTTGGCCCGGATGATGGGTGTGATGACCAAAGACAGGAAGAGCAGGCCATATCCTGTGGAGAAAGGAAAACTCTCCATAAAATAGGGTTAGGGAGAGGAGTACCTAGTGAGAGGACGTGGAACTCAGGTTAGACCCAGCAACTCGCTGGGTGGCAAGAGACTGTGATCAAAGTGGAACGGAGACTGCCCTTCTTCAGACTCAGCTCTCTGCTGTCTTTCATGAATGAGTGCTGGTTGCTACCAATGGCTTACTTTTTTTTTTTTTTTTGAAACACATCTCACTGTGCAGTTCAGGCTAGCCTTGAACTTGAAGTGATCCTCTTGCCTCAGCCTCCTGAGCGCTGGGATTACAGGCATGTGCCACCACGCCTGGCTATCAATAGCTTTCTTGTCAGAAGACCTCTTAGGTCCACCACAGGTATCACCTACCCACTTAGCATTTAATAGAGAGATAGCAGGATCCAGAAAACACACATGAGTTTTGAAGCTGGTCCCAAGTTCAAAATCTGATACTATTGCTTACAATGTGCATGGCCTTGGGTAATTTACCTCCCTGAACCTGATCCCAGTCTGTGAAAGGAAGACAATAAAACCTTCATTGCAGGATGGTTCTGTATTATAGGAGGCTGGATAGTGCCCCTCAGAGATATCAGGTTCTTAAGGCTGATGCCTTATTAGAAAAATGGATCTTGCAAATGTGATTAAAGTTAGGATCCCTGAGAAACAAAGATTATTCTGGATTCTTAGGGTGAGCCCTAAATGCAGCTATGCATATCCTTATAAGAGGAAAATAGAGGAAGATTTGGTGCAGACAGAATAGAAGAGGCACAAAGAGAAGAAGACAAGGTGACCACAGAGGCAGAGACTGCTGATGTGGCCATGAGTCAAGGGGTGCTAGCAGGCCCAGGAAGCTGGAAAAGGGAAACACATTCTCTCCTGGCATCTCTGGAGGGAGCATCACGCTGTCAACAACTTGATTTCAGCCCAGTATGACTTTGATCTTTTGGTTTCCAGAACTTGGAGAAAATAAGCTTCTGCTATTTTAAGTCTCCAAGTTGGTCATAATTTGTTACAGCAATCTTTTACACAAGGTTAAGGAACAACATCTATGAAGAGCATGGTTTAGTAAGAAGATAATAAATATATTTTCCCTCTCCCTTTAGTTATTTACAGGCATACCTGGTTTCTCAGAACTATTCCTCTCCCCATGTGACTGCTGTCTCCTAGACAAAATTTCAAATTCCTAGAGACAGTGGATCTTGCAAAGTGGGTATCTGATGAGGCACACCAGGGCCCTTTCAAGGGTAGGGATACCCCCAAATTCCACTTTGTCAAGATTCCTATGAGCAATGGCAGCATCCATGAGTGAAAGGCACCTCGCCCCTTCACTATCAGAGAAGCAGCTGAGTTAAGAAATCTGTGATCATTTAACCGCCAACTTTGTATACCAAAGATCTGAGGGTTTTATTAAAGTAAAATATTCCTTTAAAGATGTTAACTTCTTTATCTCCTGGCCAGCCTCCTTTCCCACACAAAAAAAGAGGACAAGGGAAGGAGAGTGGAGGGGAGGAGAAGAAGAGGAGGAGGTAGTGGTGGAGAGGAAATTAGCAAGCAGGAATTTCGTATCTGTGGTCTGAGAAGACGGACTCTTTAAAAAAAACCCAAGGAAGCTGACCATGATTTGAGGTAGGTCCTATAATTCTTATCAATGCATTAATGGCATGGACTTTGTTAAGAACACCATGACCAGGCTATGAGAGGCCAAGGGGTGAAGCAATTAGTGTATGAGCCATGCTTTTGTCTTTTGCTCTATATTACTAATATTTATGGTTGATAAATGCATTAAGTACTTTGGCTGTTGAAGACCTATACTTTCCACATATTAAGGGTAGCATTATTCTGGGCTTTCCTGTTTGTGTGTCCTCCATTGCAGGCTGGGCATAACTACGTTTCCAAAGACACAGGCTTGAACCACATTTGAGGGCAGTAAGTGGTTGCCCTTAGTTTTCAACTATTGTCCCTAGCACAAGCTGCCCCTGAGCCCACACTTTACCTGTGAACATGAGCGGTGTGATGGTAGCAAACGCAAAGACAACCATCCCCAGGGCGTTGAAGGCCAGGCCAATCTCAGCCACCCAGGTGTCGGCCAGGCAACACTGCAGAAGTCGGAGGCCCAGCAAGCTGGTGAGGTAGGGGAGCTGCTGGGCTGCAGAACCATAGCCAACCAGCTTGGAGTCCCAGCAGAGGGGTGTGCTCAGCTCATAGAGGGTCAAGATATCCTGGGCCCCGAAGTGCACAGTGATCACCAGGAAGATGGCCAGTGAGTACAAAGCTATATGCTTCCTGGACTTCTCTGGGGCTGGATTCACATAGAGCTGGACAATGGATAGATGGTGGCGGAGAGTGAAGAGCCGGGTAGACCTCGGCTCCTTCACGGTCTCACCAAAGCAGAATGCTCCATACAGACTCATGACTATCAACAAGGCCAAGGCCAGCCAGAAGGGGTTGGCATAACCCTGGGCCCTCAGCCAGTGGCCTCCGAGGAGGCTGGCCAGCATGCCAGCCACTCCGATGCAGGCTTCCAGGATGGCTATTCGGATGGTGCGGTTGCGGGGAGTGGTGACATCTGCCACAGAGGCAAAGCTAGCAGCCAGGAGGCCATTGAAGTCACCGAAGAGGCCACAAAGGATGCGGCCCAGCACGAAGAAGCCAACGTGGAGCTCCAGCTGTACCACAAAGATAGATACTACGACCTGGAGCAGCAGGCCCAGCGAGGTGAGCACCAGTACTGGCCGGCGGCCCACGCAGTCACTCCAGGCGCCCAGCAGAGTGGACGAGAAGAGATCCACCAGGAAGCCGCCAATGTTCATGTAGAGGGTCCAGTGGGAGGTGAGGGTCTCCACTTCCTGCGGAGACGCGTTGTAACCAGGGTGCAGCGCCTACCTAGGTGCCTGCGTCTCCTACAAACAGTGCCGTTCTGGGAGCTGCAGGGCTGGGGACTTTCTTTGGAGCCTTAAACCTCAGAGATGCTCCATAAAGTGCTTAAAAATGGGACTCGAGGGCAATGGGAAATGGACCTCGCTCTTTTTACCAATCTTTCCCTACTTTTTTTTCCTTTTCCTTTCCCTACTTTTATTAACCTGGAAGGCCAGACTTTCTCCGCGTCCACAGACCACGGTTTTCCCACAGACCCCTGAGCTCCGGCTCCGCCCACCATGCAACCGCAAACCCCCTTCCACGGCTCCCCACCTTTTAGTGGGTCCCGCCCCTCGCGCCCCTCCCCCGCGCTCCAGCCCAGGCCGGTCCTCTGCCGGGCGCGCTCTGCGGCTAGACTGGGTACCTGCTGGATGGGGTTCGCAGTGTGGTTGCCACAGTCCCCCCGATCGCGTGTGCCATTGTACCCCAGGTCAGTGCTGAAGCGGTGCCACAAGTACTGCGTGGTGAGCGGGCCCTGCAGGACGAGAGCAAAGTTAGCGAGGAAGACGAGCGGCTCCACGGGGCCGCGGAACAGCACGGGCGCCTTGGGGAGGGCGCGGGCCTCGGTCGGGGGCGTCGCACGCCCCTCCATGTGCAGGCGAGGTCGGCGAGTGAGCAACTGCCCTGAACCGGCGGCCCGAGGCCTGGGCCTGTGCAATGTGCGCCTGCGCCCGAGACCGGCCTCGCTTTTTAAAGTTGGGCGGGGCGGGGCGTGGGACCTCAGTCTCCGAGACTCTCATCCTGCTTGCTCCCGGCAGGGTGCGACTCAGTTTGGAGCCCGGTAACTCTGGGCTGCCTGCAGGATGGCCTCACCTGTACCGTGCACGGAGAAACCGCTTGACAGGAGTATCAATAATTAACATTACTGATACTGCTTGTAGGCAGGTGGACATCAGCGGTGCTGAAGGAGAAAAGAGGTCCAAATAATAGCATGCTTTGCCAGTTATAGTTAAATTAAAAAATAGATCTGGTTCAATGCATTTATAATGATTTGTTAGGTCTCAGACCCAAAATGACTCCATGGTGCACAATTGTGTACATTCGATGTGTACCTGGCCACCTAGTGATCTGTTTCCAATCCGCAGAATACAACGCTGGGATTAGGCGTGATCCCCGTAGCTTAGGACCCAGCGGTATCAGAATGGAAAGCATTCTTTAAAAACCCAATTTGGGACCCAGAGGTTTGGCTCAGCAGCACAAGTGCCTGCCTATCAAGGCACGGTTGTGAGTTTAATCCTTGGTACCAAAAAAAAAAAAAAAAAAAGGCTGAGGCCTGATTCTATTTAATTAATTAATTAATTTTTATGGACTTATTTATTTTGGTTTTTTGAGGCAGGGACTTACTGTGTAGTTCAGGCTGGCCTTGAACTCACTATGTAGCCCAGGCTGACCTCAAACTCATGGCGATCCTCTTGCCTCAGCCTTCCAAATGCTGGGATTATAGGTATGCACCATCATGCCCAGTGAGATCTGATTTAGTTTAGAACCTTTTCTTTTATAAATTTCTTACAAGATTAAAACCCCAAAGGAAACACTGATCATCTGAAAAGAACAAGGAAGAGATTTTACTATTTTAAAGTAACTTCTAAGAAAAACATTGATAAACATCACCAGGAGTAACTCATGTACATAAAAAGATACCCAAATGCTTACATGCTTGCCTTCTTGGTTAAAGCTTAAATCTCTCTGTAGCTGATTGACAGTAAACCCTACCTACCTACCTGTTCACACCACACAGCCCATGTGTCTTAACTCTCACAAAAGCACAAAGAACTGAGCAAGGAGGTGTCAAAGGACCTGACTTCCAGGTAACATTATGTGCAGTGCACAGAATTTAAGTCCTTTTCATATGTTAATCTTTGTTTGCTTGAGGTGGGTTCTCACTGCCTAGTTGAGGCTGACCCTGAACTCACTGTTCCCAGATCAGCCTCAAACTCAAGGTGATCCTCTTGGCCTCCCGAGTGCCGGGACTGGTGCATTAATCTTGCACAATCCTAGAAGTTAGCCACTATATCCACAGATGTGGAAGTGAGCCAGAGCTGGAAGAACCCTCTCGAGTTTGGCAGCCTCAGGCTGGCCCCTTGGAGCTGGAATACCTGGGCTCTGCCGCTTCTCTCCATGTGCCTCCTTGAGTTGTTTTTGAAAAAAACAAAAACAAAAACAAACCAAAAAACAAAACAACTTGCCTCACAGAGGGTTTAGAAAGAATAGGGTCTGGTAGGTTGAAAGTGCTATTGTTCTTGCTGTCACTCCAATGTCCTTTCCTTTGGGACCTGGGATTGGACTGCAGTTCCCTTGGAGGAGCAGAGTGGGAGGAGAAGTGGAGGGCAGTACCTACCTTACTCTCCTGTCATTTATTAATTCACTGATTCAACACATTGACTGAGTGACCCTTAAGTACCTGGAACACAACACTGAAGGAAATAAACAAAGCCTTCACCAGGCCTGGTAGTTCCTAGACTGCTGGAAGAGTGACAATCAGAGATTCCTACTAATTGATGGAAAATTATTCAAATTGTGCCAAATGCTTTAAGAACAAGAGTAGTGCCCTTAAGGGGTGCTCAAAAGAATCTAATAGAGCTCCAGAAAGGCCTTCCCTGAGAACTAACAGGGCAGCCTAATGGATAGATGTCAGGAGCTGACCTGTATGGAGTGGGATCCACAGGCTAGACTTTTAGGGCTCAAGGTGGCTCCATTTTTGGCCACCGACCTGAGGCTGTCTCTGGATTTATCAGTACTCATTGGCCATCCTCATCTCTCCTGAGTCAGAAGCATCTGAGGCTTAGAATACATAGGTGTTGGTACCCACACCCTGTGGCTATTGGGAAATAGGCAATTTCACCTTAAACATCCAAGCTTCTGAACATTCTCTTTGCCCGCCCACGTGAAGCTCGGCCTGTTACATTAGCTGCAGGAGGAAGGCGTGCCCTGGTAAAACATTGGAATTATTTCCCAAATAAAGAACTAAGACTAGAGAAGCCACAGTCCCTCTGTTAGGAGTGGTAGAGGTTGTGGTTCATGCCAGGGCCAAAATCCACGATGCCCACCTAACCAAAGACCTCTCATTCGTTGAGCACAGCTCCAGTGGCACTGACTGGTCTGTTCCGCTCAGACCATCCAGTGATTTCTATTTCAGTGGGAGAAAGAAAGCCAAGTTGTTACTGGGTAGCTCCTTTGAAAAGCAGCTCACTAAGTAAACGTTACCAAGTTTTATGGTGTTCACATCTCCTTCTGGAGTTGGATTCCAGGTTCTTTTCATCTCAAAAAACTGAACAAAATGAGCAAGAAATGGTGACAAAATTTATTCAAAAAAGTAAAAGTGAAGAATGAGAGGGAAACTGGCTCTGCAGAGTGAACTTGGGCCGAGGAAAGGAGGAAAAAGCAAGATAAGTGCACCCTAAGGACACAGGGTGGCTGCTGTGAGGAAGGCCACCAAAGCAAGCCCCCCTTGGCATCTGTCCTGTATCCTGTCCACATCTCAAGGAAACCCAAGAGAACATGTATATATGGTGGAACCCCACTCCTCAGGCTGATGTCAGCTCTAGGCCGTCCTGTTGAAAACCTACTTGGGTTTTCAGGAGAGACCTATGTGCAGGGCTCTGGGGATGGTTGTGGGCCTGTGTTCTGGGATCTTGTAATTAATAGGTCATGCCTGCTTTCTCAGCCATCTTGCCATGCCCTGACCTCCTGTCTCGGGATCGTTATGCCAGCCCATGATCACCTGTGCCACTGGCCACACCGCTGCCTCCACTTTCAGCACCCTCCTGTCTGGCAGTCTCTGTACTCACCCCTCCGCGTATCTGGAATGTTCTTCTACCAGATGGGTAACTACCTGGCTGGTTCCCTCACTCCCTTCAGGTCTGCCAAAATGTCACCTGACTCTGATATATAACAGACTCCCCTCATCTCCTGGTACTCCCTAACCTCTTATCCATTTTGGCTTTTTCCATAGTATTGTTTACTATCTGAATTCTTAGAACTTGTTTCTTTTCCAGTACTGAACCCAGGACCTCATCCTGTTAGGCAAACACTGTCCATGGAGCTACACACCTAGTCTGGCTTTGTCTCTTTGTTCTCTCTCTCCCTTTAGTAGAAGTCATGTCACAGGAGCTTGGATTTTTTCAGGACTTGTATCCCCAGCATATGGAATGGTGCCCACACAGTAGATGCTCAGACTTGGCTGAGTTGGTACACTTCACCCCAAGAAGAAGGGCTTTTCCTACTGGAGCCCTGACAAGCCACAGTGCAAAATACAGAGTCCAAGAATCTATACCCGGAAGGTGTAAATTATCCACCCAATTAAAAGACAGGGAGATTGAGGATCAGAGGGAACAATGAATTACCTAAGGGAGAGCTAGGTTTCTTTGATTCCTTCAGAAATGTAGCACATTCCTGTAATGCTAGCATTCATGAGACTCAGGAAGGGGATTGCAAGTTTAAAGCCTGCTGGGGTAACTTAACAAAACCTTGTCTGGGGAAAAAATGGGAAGGGAGGGGTAGCTGGACATGTAGCTCAGTGGGAAAGCCCGGGTTCCATCTCCTGTATAAAAAAAAAAAAGGCGGGGGGAGGCTTAAATCTTTTGACTTTGTGTAGTTTCAACCTTGGTTCCTCTTCCTCTATCAAACCATTGATTAAAGGCCAAGCAGCCAGAGGTCTGCGAGAAGCACACGGGAATGGGCTTCTTTCAGCACCTGAAGAAGGAAGGAGGCGCCAGGCCTTTGGGTGTGTTCTATGTGGTCAACATACACAAATTTCACTTTAAACAAGAGAGCACAGCCGGGTGTGGTGGCTCACGCCTGTAATCCTAGCACTCGGGAGGCTGAGGCAGGAGGATCGTTGCGAGTTCGAGACCACCCTGAACTGCATAGTGAGACCCTGTCTCAAAAAGACCAAAGGAAAAAAAAAAAAAAAAAAAAAAGAAAAGAAAAAGAAAGCACAAAGCTGGTGAGGCTACCGTGAGACAAATGCTCACATCGAGAGCCTTACATGCTCCAGTGCCACACCCGGGTCTCTAACTGAGGAAGAGTCTCTAACTAAGGAAGTGAGAAGTACAGGGAAACGCCCTATGGTAAAGGGACAGGAGCAGAATAGGAAAAGAAGAAGCAAGATATATCATGTAAGGGACAAATTCTCTATGATGAACATGATCACTTGACACCGTATAGCCATCACCTAAAAGAATCCTCGGGGTCTCACCGTGTCATCCAACCTGGCCCAAAGCTCACTGTGTAACCCAGGCTGGCTTCAAACTTGCAGTCCTCCTGCCTCAGCCTCCCAGAATCCCAGAATGCTAGGGTTACAGGTGTATACCCCATCCCATCTCAATTTGTTTGTTTGTTTGTTTATTTATAATGTTTTTTGGGGAGTCGGTGTTTGTTCTGTTCTTTGAAACAGGGCCTTACAACAGAGTTCAGGCTGAATTTGAACTCACAATGCTCCTGCACTGAAATGTGTACTGAGTCCTGAGATTACAGGAGTGTGTTACCAGGCCTGGCCTCCCATGACTTTATGATAATAATTTTTCCAGATAATGCAGTTATAGCTGGAGTGACGAAGGAATGGACCTTGCCACTTTGAATATAGGTTTTATTTTTCCTACACCTGTTCTAGTGCTTTCAGTACCCCAGGCCTCGGTAGGTGTTATTGCCCTTGCCAGGAACACTCTCCCT